ATGAGATATCCATCCATTCTTTAACGTGGCCATGCAGGGTTGTGTGATCCCTTTACTGAGTATCTAATGTGTACTAGGCATTGGTTCTCATCCCTGAAAATACAGCAGTGAACAAGAGAAAGTCACAGCCTCAGGACATTGTTGCTAGAAATGGAGACAGAACATAAACAAGCAAACATACAGGACCAGGTACTTTTAGTTACTATGAAGAAATATGCAGGCTAAGGGCAGAATGATAGGTTGCTGAGATGGTCATGGAAGCCCTCTCCAAGGTGACAGGTAAGCAGGGACCTGAAGGAAGTAGGGCAGTGACCCTTAATAGCTGGGGACACATGTTTCAGGTAGACAGAAGAGTGAGGAACAAAGGCTCTGAGGGACCTTGTCAAGAAATCACTGGTTAGTTTCTGTTATGGTTGATACACTGTGTCAATTTGAGAAGTCTAGACGCTTAACTAAGTAACTCAGCAGTTCTACATCCCAGTGTGTAGAGGACATGCCCTTACCCCTCTAGGATGTTGTGCATTGTGTCAACTTGGAAAGTTTAACAGTTTAATTAATTGACTTGGCAGGGGTCCAGGGTCCTCACTTTGTAAGAAGCCTGAGCCTGTGCAAGAGGAGTGCACAGAGATGGTGTGAGTGCTATACCCACCCCAGGCAGATAGCCTGCATACAATATATGAGGGGGAAAGAGGCTTGTTCTTCTCCTTTTTGCTCTTGTTGCTTTTGCTGTCTTCTGCCGCCTTCAAGTGTTGCCCCTCAGCCATACCACCCTGCCTTGGAACCAGCTGACCATGGACTGAAACCCCCACAAACTGTGTGAGCTAACTAAACCTTTCCCTCTTTAACTTTGGGCATCAGGTATTTTGTCCCAGCAACAAGAGAAAAGTAACCAACACAGTATCCCTGGCCACACCTGCAGAGCAGAGGGGAAAATTGCAGATAAAGGTTTTTGGGGACCATGCACCTGCAACGTCTGCTTAGCATCATTTTAAATTTTACCTGGGGCAGAGGAGGAGGTGGGAGGGAATGGAGGGCTTCCTCCTGGGAGTAATCTACCCCACAGCTTCGTTTCTGTCTAAATCTAAGGCTGAGATACTTATTCTAGCCCTAAAGCTGGATCTCTAGCTTTAAAAAAAAAAAAAAAAAAAAAAACTCTTTGTCTACTTCCAAAACTCTTTTGAGCCCATTAAAAAAATTTTCAAACTGTTATTTTATTGTAAAACAAAACTACAGTGTACATGATAAATGTGCCAGGTATTGTTTGAAGACTTTAGAAATATTGATTTATTTAATCTACATGATAACATTATAAGGTAATGTGATAATTATCTCCACATAAATTTAAAGAAAAGACACATAAGAAAAACTAAGCATGAAATTTTAAAAATTTTCCCAAGTTCACACAGTAAGTGTTAGAATCAGGATTCAAATCTAAGTAGTAGTAGTCTATTCCAGGACCTGACTCAATGACTATCTTCTACCTTTCTTTCCTTTTTTTTTCTTTCTTTTAATAAAGAATTGATGCATTTTTTAAAGTTTTTAATGACATAAGTCAGAAGTAGATGCATTCCCAACATAAAATCTACAAATAGTACTACAGGGCTGGGGATTTAGCTCAGTGGCACAAGTGCCTGCCTGCAAGCACAGGGTCCTGAGTTCAATTCCTGATACAAAAAAAAAAAAAAAAAAAGTACAACTAGTACTACAGATAAAGCAAAGGGCCTGCTTGCCCATCCCCCACCTGAGTCACAGCTCCCTTCCTACCAACTAGTATTTGCAGGTATCTGTCCAAAGTTTTTACACTGATACATGTTTTGTTTTGTTTAATTAATTTAGGCATGGGGGGTAGCCTATTTTTTAACAGTCTGTACTGTACTCGTTGCTGTCCAACAATATGGTCTTGAGTTCTCTATATGTCAGTACACTTGAAGGTATTGCATTATCATTCCACAGCAAGGGCCTGCCAGCATTTATCTCAGATAAAGGTCTCATTTTTGCTACTATAAGCAAAGACGCTGTGAAGGACCATTTTGATGCGTCCCCCTGCACATGTTTTCCAGTGCTTTTCAAGGACAGATTCCAAGTAGAACTCAGAGTCATAGCAACCACCTTATTTGTAATAGGCTCTGCCAAACCGCCTTCCAGCTGTACTAATTCACACCAGCGGCAGCAGCATTTAAACCTTCCCTATCCCTTACTGCCCTTGACATGCCCAAACTCTCCGATTTTCTTACCATCTGTGATGGAAAATGATTTCTCATTGCTGTTCTCATCCGCTCTTCTCTAATTACTAATGACATTGTACATCTCCTCAGATGTTTATGGGCCACTGTATTTCCTCTTCTAGGAACTGTGTGTTGAGATTCTTTGCCCATTTGCCCTTTCTTTGTTACTGCTTCTTTATTCATGTTGATGTCTATCTTTTGTCTCTACACAGGCAGATATTTTCTTCTAAATCTGCCGCTCATCTTTTAGCTTTGTTTTATGATCCTTTTTTCTCTCCCGCTTTTACTGAGCCTGAAAATGGAATGTGAAAACAAGCAAAACCGCAGGCCTCTTAGAAAATACTAATCACTCCCTCTCCTCCAACCTGCCTGCCTGTGCGCCCACTGAAGCACTTAGCTCTCCGTTTGCGTTCACAGGTGCCTGACTGTGTGGCCGCGTCTAGAAGGTAGAGGCTTCATCCTCTCATTGCTGCTTCTCCCTTCGGGCCCAGCACAGGGACTTATATGCTGTAGGTACTGAAGCCAAACTGAATTAAGGCTACCATTTAAAAAGGCACAATTTGATCCCAAATCTGATTTCACTCAACTTCACTAAGTAGGAATCAGCAGCAGCAGACAGTGGTCTTCCTCCTTCCCAGAAACAGAAAACAAAACAAGGTATGGAGCTGGCTCAATGAAATATTAAGCAGCTCTGTCCACCAATGTGGCTGATGGTTTGTGTGGTTGGTCCAGGAGAAGGACAGAAAGGAAGGCAGATGACCAGACCACAATCATTAGCTCTCTGCTGTCCTCTTTGGGAAGGGTTTTAGTATTAAAAGAACATTTATTCTCATTAATGCAGAATTAAGGAGTTTAAAAAGCTTTTACAACCTAGACTCCCTCTGAGAGGTCAGCTCTGACGCCATAATCAGCATTCTGCTCCTGCCTCTGCTTGAAGCCAAACAGCTCCCAAAGTCTCAGCTGGCCTGACAACGAGCAGATGAGGGAGGGAAGAGGGGGGAAAAAAAGGCTATGTTGGCTTCCACAGTTATCCAACCCTGTGTTGGGCATGATCAAATTACACATCATCAGACACCAGAGTCAAGTCACCGCTCACTCAGCCCAGGGGCCTCCGAGTCACTCTCCAGGCAGAAAGAGGTGAATTCAACGTTCCTAGCCTCATAACTTTATCTCCCTGATACATCTCCCTGAAGCTGCTGTCCATCTTCCACTTAAAACACGAGTACTCAGCCAGGTACACTGCTATACGCTCACAATCCCAGTTACTCAAGAGGTTGTGGCAGGAGCATCACTTTGATCCAACAGTTCAAGGCCACCCAGGGCCACATGGTAAGACCCCAATCTTAAAAAAAAACTACACTCGGGGCTGGGGATTTAGCTCAGCGGCAAAAGCACCTGCCTGGCAAGTGCAAGGTCGTGAGTTCGGTTCCCGGTACCGGAGAAAACCCAAAAAAAAAAAAAAAAAACTACACTCAAATGCTGACTTTGAAGAAGCCTGGTAATGGAGACACATTGGTTCATAACACCATTCTCCCTATCTTATGTCTATATATAAAAATTTGATAATTTTAAAAAATGCTAATGCCTAGCATAACAGGGAGCTCATGGCTTCCTATAAGAGCCCAATCCTTGGACAATCTGGTAGGAAGTCTCTCTTCAATGAGCCATTGGGCCCTCCGGTAGTGTCTAGAGTCAGACAGACCAGTCTGGATTCAAATGCTGGGGCCGCCACTTGCTGCCCTATGACCCTGAGCATTTTATCCCAAACCCTCTGAATGTCAGCTCCTCATCTGCACAATGGTGACAGTCACCTTCATCTTAAGGCTGTTGGGAAATACGGATGAGGTCATGCAAGAAACGTCCTTGCCCGGCACCTGGCATGTTAGGTGCCTGCTGTTGGTTCTCCTGGCTTGATCTCTTCCTGGGAGCCAAATAAAACAAGTCACCCTCCTCCTCACTGTAGCACACCTGCAACAGATGACCAATTCAGTAACACTCTGCAAGAAGCCTTTAAGAAGACTACTCCCTAGAATTGAAAAATCACAAATAGCTGTGATTATATAAAGGACAAAAACTAGGCCCAAATTCCAAAGAATTGCCTCTGTGTCTTGGCATCAAGTAGAGTTACAGCTAATCTTGTGGTTGTCAACACTAGTATTCTCAGTCACTGATACAAATAAAGACAAAGCTTTAGAAAATCCACTCCAAGCCTGTAATTCCAGCTGCTGGGAGGCTGAGGCAGGAGAATCACTGCAAGTTCGAGGCCAGCCTGGCTACATAGTGAGTTCAAGCCCAAGTTGGACTACACAATGAGAGGATGTCTCTAAAAAAAAACAAAAAAATCCACTCCACTAAAGTCTACAGAGGAATCAGAGAGGATTCACTCTTCCCCTGCCTATGCATACAGAAAACACAGCCGGGCGTGGCGGCGCACATCTCTAATCCCAGCACTCAGGAGGCTGAGGCAGGAGGATCGCTGCGAGTTTGAGACCCGCCTGGGCTACAAAGTGTGCTCAAGGCCAGCCTGAACTGCATAGTGAGACCCAGTCTCAAAAAGACCAAAAAAACATACAGAAAGCGCTGCTGTGAGTAGTTCACCTCATCACAAAATTTGCACAAAATATGGAGGCAGCGTCAGTTATCTCCTTCTGAGGAACAAGACGTTCTTCCCATTGGATGATGAGCTGGTGCTGCTTGGACCGTCTTTTGCAGCCCTCTTCTCGCATGGTAAGTGATCTGCAGCAGGATGAGGCTGTCTCCCCACGCCCAGCATACCTTGGCCTGCGTTCCACAATACGACGCCATGCATCTGTCCTGACACTCCAATGGCCCCGACTTTCCGGAGCTGCTGCCCAGGAAGAGCAGCGAGGCACTCGTTTAGGGCTCGGATGATCCTACTCACATCCTGCTCCCGCCCCTGGAAACAGAACAGGACACTTTGGCAGGGACAGACAAACAAGCAGGGAAGGAGGCCACAAGGATTTCCTGGGGGACAGCTGCCAGCTCAATCCACCAGGGTCACTTCCCAGACCTGCTGCATGGTCTCAGATGTGGGATATGGGACTGAGGGCTTGCTGCCACCTCCAGCAGGGCCTGGGATAGGACTGTGGCAGTAGGGGCCCACTCCCTGCCTTCACAGACCAGGCGCTGGACAAGATGAGGTTCAGCAAGTGGCCCCCGCCCAGTTCTCCACTGTGGGCAGGCTGAGTGAGAAAGCACTGCTCCTGTTCCATGCCATCAATCAGGGAAATCGAAGAGGGGTCTTTCTCATAAGGCATAGGGAGCAGTGGGACCCTACAACATAGGAGGAGCCTGGCAGGTGTACGGGCAAAGAGAAATTTCCCTTCCCTTCCCTTCCCCTTCACTCCAGGTTCGCTGATATGAACTAACAATGACAGATATGTAAGAGAAAAGCATACAGATTTACTCACGTGCAAAAAGGGAAAACACAGCATGGAGGAAAGTCATAGGAATGTGAATACCATGGGTCCAGTGTGATTCCAGTGTTTATGATGCTTATATGTTCCTTCTTCTATATGGCGGGGGAGAGTGAGGAATGTGGACAACTTCAGAAAGTGTTAAATAATAACTAGGAGGAGACAGAAATTAGCTTGTAAAATGATTCTCTCTGTAATCTGAATGAGCCCAAGGGGTAGACTTTACCCCATACCAGTAATCTCTACAGATATAGCTACACTGTCTCCTCTGAGACTGATGATAAGATTTCAAGTGGGGATTGGAAGGCAGTTGCGTTCCATTTGTAGTCTGGTTTTTATGTTGTTGTTTTTTCTTAAGAGGTGAAGTCTTCCTGTGTTGCCAGGCTGACATCAAATTCATAATCTCAAGCGATTCTCCTGCCTCAGCCTCCCAAGTAGCTGGGACGACAGGCACACACCCAACTTGCAGTTTAGTCTTAAAATATATAAGGTAATTCCAGAGACAGCCTCTCCATGTGCTTAGACAGGAGAATCAAAATGGTTAGAGGGACCTAGCTTTTGAACCTGCTTTTTAAAGGCCTTTTTTTTTTTTTTTTTTTTGATACTGGGAATCAAACTCAGGATCTTCTGCTTACCAGACAGGCGCTTCTGCCACTGAGCTACATCCCTGGCCTAAAGGCCTTTTAATTATTTCCTTTAGAATAAATTTTTCAGCATACCAAAAACTTGCCAAATTTGAGGGCTACCATTCTGTGAACCACAACACAGGAAAGATGTCTCCAGAAAGGCCCAAGGGACTAAGGCCTCAGGGTAAGAGACTCTTCCTGTAGGTAATGGGGGCCCCCACAGAATTCTGAAAGAAAATACTATCATCAGAGATCTTTACAGAACATTAATAGAACAATGGTATCAGCTACACAAAGGGAGACTGATAGTATCAGAGTTGGAGAAAAGATTGAAAAAGATCAGGACCATCTTTTCCTGAAGAGCCTTTTATTCTGACTTCCTCCCTCCTTGATAGCTTCCCCAGGCAGATTAACCTTGCAATGCAATTAGGTTGGTCCTTCAAACCTGCTCTGTCAACTCCGGGAACCTGAAGCAGGAGGATCATTTGAGGCCAGAAGTTCTGAGCTACATAAGACTCCGTCTTTTAGGAAAACAAATAAAAAATAAAACTGGCCCTACTTTTAAAAAAAAAAAGACAGATTAGCATTGTAACTCCATGGTAGAGCCCAAGCTTAGCATGCATGAGGCCCTGGATCAAGTCCCAGCTTAGAGGGGGGCTGTTCCAAGCAGATTTAATGTAATATCATATAATACTACCAACTCCTGCAAAACAAAGCGGTCCTAATACTAATATTGTAGACAGCTAAGCTAGGCGGAAATGTAGGCAGTCAGAGGGGGCTAGGGCCACAAGAGAGCCAGGACAAAGGAGAAACACATCTCAACTGTGGCTGGGGACACATCTGCTGGAAACCAGGGCTCAAGATAACGACAAGATGACCAGGCCTGCATACTTACTCCAAGGACAAACAGCAGGCCTAACGAAGCCTAGATAGACATCAGTCACCCTAGTGGGTGACCAAGACCTCCAGACCATCATTTCTTAGAAAAGGTCTTTATTCTTTCCATTATCAGACTCTTGTTTTATGAACAGTTTTACTAAATACGTTATGTGACTTGTTTCTCTGTTGGATCACTATTACCTAAGCAACTACACTTGTACCCTTATTGGTTAATCAGCTGTAACCCACATCTTATTCATGTAGATATTGCTCTGTAAAATTTTCCTGTGAAGTGGGGTCCTCGGCAGCCCATTCAGGCTCCCTCCTGCCTCTCAGGAGCTATATCTCTCCTTCTCAATAAATATCTTCCTACTCTTAATCTCTGTTGCTCCTAGAATTCATTCTTCCATTTTTAGAGAACACAAACTTGGCATATCAGACATCTAACAGGTTGAGAGTTATAACACTTCCTTTATGTCCTATTTGGAGGTTCTGATATCACTCCCTGTAACACTAAGAGACAGGAATAAGAATTTGGAGAAGTTCAAATTGGGTCTGCGGAGTTAGATGGGGAAAATATATTTTGATATCTTAATCTGAAGTAATGCCAACTCCAAACAAGCAGTATATCCAGATGGGTGGGAGTTACAGACTCCACTCCAACAGTAGGCCATAAAGGGATATAAAACTAAGAAATCTAGATTCTGTGACCCCCTTGTCCTTTAAATGATTGATCCCTGTTACAGACCATAACTAGGATCCCACAGTCTATCACATTCCAGAAAGTTCATCGCAGAGTGCTTGGGCCTTTCCTGACAGCATCTTTCCTTTGCTGAGGATCAGAGAATGATACCTCCTCAAATGGCTGGGGAATACATGGGCTGAGCAATTTGAACTAAAGGAACAGACACACACGTTGTGCGGGGGCTGGGGGATGCAGCAGGGAAGAGCCCGGCAGATGTAGGAGCAGTGGCCAGAAACTAATCCTCTAAACCTTAAAAAGCTAAGAAAGTCACCATAAAACATTCACTTGGGAAAGCAACCCAGTTGGCATACTTATTTTGGTGAATAAGTAAATTTCAAAGTAGGTAAATCAAGAATTAAGTATCTATGCATGTTTAAAAGAATCATACCTATGCTATTAATGTTTGTGCTTAAGAAATCTTGGGGCATTTAGTATTTTAAGTAAATTTGTATGTCTAAGAGAATCTGGCTTCTGTAACTGCAATCTAAACGGCAATTGAACAGATCTAAATTTGTGAGTATAAATTAAAATCTCTACTACACTTATAAGAGGATCTGCAACATGTAAGAACACTGACGCTTTCCTTGGGTATCCATTTACATAACTTACTTGCTTTCCAAAAATTACACACTCTGAAAATATTTAAAGTCAGACAGCTTACGAAAATAAAAAAATCATGATGACAGGAACACTGAAAGAGCTTTTCAAAATTGTAGGTGGGCCGTCAGGAAGCAGATTTTTTTGTGCATGGTTTATTTAACCTGTTTCCTGGGGCGCGCATGTTGGTCACTTTCCCCCTTTGACTGCAAGCTCTAGAACACACCATAATTATATTGTGCCAAGAATCAGTTATCAGACCCTTGTTTTATGAACAGTTTTACTAAATATTATTTTCATTATCTTCTATCAGTCACATAGCCTCTGCCATATCGTTCCTGTTCTTTCCTGTTTCAATAGAAATTCCCTACAAAGGATTTTCGTTACTACTTTGTACTGCTTGCCCCCTTAAGTTTCCATTTCCCCACCTCTCTAGAACACTGATTCAAAGCTAACTAAACATGAGTTTCCCAAACTGCAAGTCCCCAAACCCCAAATAAAGTCCTTTTACTTTTGGAGTTCCTGAGGTATTTTTTTGTTATTGCTGTTGTTATGTATTTGGTTTTGGTACTCGGGGGAGGGGGAGGGGACGGGGGGAGTTGATGCTAGAAATTGAACCCAGCACATTTTACCACCAAACTATTATCCCCAGCCTAGTTTCTCAATTTGAACTGTTCAACAAACTGCAATACTGAAGCCAGAAAATAGATTAAGTGTTTAAGTGCATTTTAAAAAACTAAGGAGAGTCAGGCATTGTGATGCACCCCTGTGATCCCAGCACTAAGAGGCTGAGGCAGGAGGATCCATCTCAAGGCCCTCCTAACTATACAGTGAGATCCTGTCTCAAACAAACAACTAACGGGAGTGGGTATGTCACTCAGTAGCAGAACACCATGTACTTCGCATGTACAAAGCCCTGGGTTTATTCCCAGCACTGCATTTTAACATTTTCAATAAATAAAAATAAAATGCCTGAGGTATTTCGTTAGCCAAAATGGGATAATTATTCAAAGGCTCATATGATGGTTAAAGTGTTAGATTTTTAAATTTTTGTTTGGGGCTTTTTGGTTAGATTTCTTTCTTTTTTTAATGTGACTTATTAATGGAATAAATTTTATAAGTTGAATTTAAAAGCTTATGTCAAAACTAGGGTTCTGAGGGCTGGGGATTTAGCTCAGCGGCAAAGCGCCTGCCTGACAAGCACAAGGTCGTGAGCTCGGTTCCCGGTACCGGAGAAAAACCAAAACCAAAAAAAAAAAAAAACTAGGGTTCTGAGCCAGGCGTGGTGGCACATGCCTGTAATCCCAGCACTCGGGAGGCTAAGGCAGGAGGATCATTACGAGTTCGAGACCAGCCTGGGCTACAAAGTGAGCTCAAGGCCAGCCTGAACTGCATAGTGAGACCCTGTCTCAAAAAGACAAAAAACAAAACAAAACAAAAAAAACACTAGGGTTCTGAATTTTATAAATTGAATACTTATTTTGTTTCATCCAAAATAAACTGTTGATGGGATACAAAAAAATCATCTCAAGGCACTCAATCAACTTATTGTTTAACAACGGGAAGGACCCATGGAACATTCAGAAAGAGGAAGAGAGAGGTGGATCAGCTCTCACTAAGTATAGGTTCTTTGAGAAATTGAAAGAGCTTTCTTAGGAAATCATTCAAGGACTAAGAGGCCCCTTGATTTCCTCCACTCCTTGAAACAAACCTGATGGCCTTGTTCAGGGCAGTTCTTGGCTCCTAGCAAGCATGAACAAAGGAACAAAGAAGGAAGGCAAGGAAGGGAGAGAAAGGAGAGGGAACACAGTGCATTTTCCTGAAGGGGCAGCTCCAGAGCCTAACAAGGAAACTTTATATGTGGGAGAGCCACCAGGCAAATCAACGGGGCACTGGAAGACAGAGCGGCACAGAGGAGGAACATGGCTATGCATGATCCCCAGAGAGCAAGGCAGAACAAAAGAAAGGAGGAAGAAATATCTGCTTAAACCCGCACTGTGTTTACAGCAGTCATCAGCTGCATGCAGCTAGTCTGAATTGAGATGTAAGTGGGAAATACACACCAAATTTCAGAGATAAGACTAATACAAGATGCACAGTATCTTGTTAATAAATTTCTATTGATTATTATACATCAAAATTATATGCTCTATACCATTGGATTAAACAAAATATGTGATTAAAATGAATTTCACTCTACCCCTTTTGCTATTTTAAGTGGCTACTGGAAAATTACGGCCATAGTTCACATTTTGTAGCTTGCACTTCTGTTGGCCAACACTGGTTTAGAGTCCCCATACAGCCATCAGCTGGTGCATCGCCCCAGGACAGAGGAACCTCTGTTTAAAATGGGCCCAGGCTGGGTGAGCTGTGTGGGTGGAGATAACAGAGGAGGGAGACAGGCCAGATAGGAGTGCAGACAAGGAGGCAGTGTTGCACTCAATTCCAGTTTTGGGGGCAAGTATGATGAGGGAGTAGCCCAGGGACACACAAGGCGCATGCCCACAATATAACAGGAAAGGCCTTGCCTCATTTCTTGATTCAGAGTATCTGTGGGTCCACACCCAGATCAAAGCAAAGAAAAAAATGTGTTTAGAGACTCATTCAACCCTACTCATCCCTGCGTCCCTTTTCATAGCTAAGGAGACTGAAGCCAAGAGGAAAAATAACTGGGGCCACAGAGCTTTCCTCAGAAAACTTGTATTTTCAACTACATTTAAATGCATAGCTGCCGTGGTATACATAGTACTTCCGATGGAACAGTATGGATGCACATGATGAAAGGACACATTCATCAGGTGTTGCTACGGATTGATGGTTCTCACTCCAGGGTGACTCAGTTGAGCATATTTGGGAATGGGGAGAGATTTTTAGTTGTCACATCTGAGAGGAGGAAGTGTTCCTGGCATTTAATGGATTGAGACTAGAGATACACAAAACAATCTTCAGTACACAGGACAGTGCCCTACAACAAAGAATTACAAAGCCCAGTGCCAAGGTTGAGAAGTCACAGTAATGCCACTTGTCCCCACGCACAGCATGTATGTGGAGGATGAGGGGGAGGTGAAGGTAATTACTGACTTTTATTGGGCAGGTGTGGCATGCTGGATGTCCCTATAATCAGAAAACAGCCTAGTAGCCGGGAATAGTGGCACATGGAGGCTGAGGCAGGAGGATCGCTGCAAGTGCAAGGCCAGCCTGAGCTACAAAGTGAGCTCAAGGCCAGCCTGAACTGCTCAATGCCCAGAGTGACAGACTGAAATCCTGTCTCAAAAAAAACAGTTTTCAAGAAGGGTCCCTGGGCTGGGGATGGAGCTGCAGTACAGCACTTGATTAGTTCAATCTTCAGATTCCCAACACTACAAAAAGGTGACCTTATTTCAAGAGAAAAAGGCAATGCCCAGACCCTATAATCCTAGCTCTGCTGACCAACCCCACAGGCTGAGGAACAACTGTGCCTCCATTTCATAGTCTATGATGTGAAATAATTACTCTAAAATGCCCTGCTGCCCCAACCAAACCAGTTGTGAAAGCCTCGATGAAAACGCAAAGTGCTCTTGAAACCTTTATCTTCTGAAATGCTTCTGAGCAAGCTGGATTCTGAACCCTGAAGAACTGAGTTCAGATATACGGCAAGAGCTTATGAAAAACCAAGATCCTGGGGGTTGGACTTGGCTCAGAAAATCGAGGTTGTGGCTAGAACAGGCCTAAGAGGTCACTCATTTAAATTCAGAGAACAAGTCAGAGGTTACACAGAAGGTTGCCTCATATTAATTTCCACTGCCAATGGGCTGAACACAAAGGTACCCTTTTCAGGAAATTAATGGAATCCAGTTGAGGACTGACTGACCCTTTCTTAACCTACCCACATCTCCCAAAAAGGACCGCGGTCCTGAAATTCTGTTCCTGGACCGTGTAGCTGGCAAAAGCCACTAGGTGTAGTATATAACTGTCGACCTGATTATTTTTTAAAGTATTTTCATTGATTTATCTCTCGGTGTCTTTCTGTCTGTTCTGATGTCTTTCTTCCCACATGTCTCAAACTTTGGGGTTGGGAGACTCTTACTGAGTTGGTGTTTGATTTTCTTGATCCACATTAGCGTCTTTGGAGTAAGAAGAGCCAGTTAGGCCCGCTTCTGCCTCCGATTTCCGTAGTAAAACTCACTCTGCCCTGTGAAACAAACTGATTCCTGAACCCGAGGGCACAGGGCAAATGTGAGGGCAGACGTGAGGAGCAGTGAGCGACAAAGATAGGAAGGCCTGTGGCTCCTCCAAGCTCAGGGTGCAGAAATCGGAGAGCAGAGAGCACAGGGATCCAGCGCCTCGGCCTAGACCCCCGGAGGCCCAGGAGTGGGGAGATGTTGCCAGCAGATTAGGCAGAGTTGCAGGCAGCGAGGCCTGGGGGTAAGATAGGGGCAGACGGATGTCAGACTGGCGGGAACAGTCAGAGACATTTCTCTACGAGAGGAATCTGCTTCTGCAGGATGCCTCTTTGGACAAGAGGGGTGTCCGGAGGTTCCTGGAAGCGACGGCTCCCTGGCACTGCCTCACCTGGGGCACGGCCGCCTTGCTCTCTGCATCTGCTCGCGAGGGGCGGGCGCAGCTCGCCAGTACCACGAACCCGGATGGGCGGCTGGGTGCGGCCTCCAGCAAGGCTGCCTTCACGGACGTAGTGCCCAGGTCGATGCCCAGAGTGACACACTGTGCAGCCATAGCAGCAGCAACTAGCGCAGCTCTCTGATCTGCTACCCGCCGCACGCGCGGCCGCAGGGTTGACCCGGGAGGGAGGTGCCTGGACTGGATTTCGCCTGCCACACTTTTAGCCACACTCGACATGGCGGCCTATCGTCTTCCCATTGGCTGAGGAAAGCTGACTCTCACGCAACCCTCGCGACGGGCCCAGGGATAGGTAACGAGGCGGCAGAAGGCGGGACCTAGAGACCCCGCCCCTCAGGACGGAGGTTACGGGACGGTGGAGCTGTATGTGATTCTCGCTAGCCGAAGGACCAAAGGGTTCACCCAGAAGCTAGGAAGCCCTTTGTGACCCTCGGAGAGGTTTAATTTTCCTTTACACTGGAGTTTCCATGTTTGCCCTACCCGGAACACTGCCCGGCTCTTTCTGGTTAAGACTCGTGAAAACTACAACTGCCAGACCACCTCGCGCGGAGATCGGGCCCCCGTGAGTCACGTGACTCGAGTCAGATGACAGCTGGCCCGCCCTCACACAAAGTCAACCCAGCCCGCGGAAACCAGGTACACTCCGAATCGGTGTCTGGCGCGAGACTGCTGCATCTTGTGAGGTTGGTCCCCGGGCCCTGGGAAGATCTCAGGTGAGAACCAGCAGGGCCGGCACAGCCTCTCCACGTTTCCCGGGCGGAGCTCAGAGGCCTGGCACATCGGTGGGGCAGTCTACCGCGGCTCCAGGCGCCCTCGTTTGGGCTCCAACTCCTAGCACTGGATAGCCCCTGATCTGAAGGACCTGGAGGCAGGGACACCGGGTTGTCAGGGTGGTATGGGTGGCTATATTCCAGGGTAGTTCGAGCCCCTTCCCGCGTCCGCCTGAGTGTGGGTTGGGACACGTAGATTGCTTGACAGAGGCGATTCTCTGAGAGGACCATTTCTGGAGCTACTGTGTTTTTTTGTTTCTGTTTTTTTGGTAGCAGACTCGAACTCACGACCTCTAGCTTGCCAGGCAGGTGCTGTGCCGCTGAGCTATATCCCTGGCCCTGGAGCTACTGTTGCCTTGTCCAGTGCTAGGCTCCGGGACACTAAGCAAGAAGAGAGTCCCACCCTGCCCTCTAGAGTTCTCAGGCTGGCGGAAGGGAGAACACCTGGACCCTAACTTTTCAGTAAGATTGAGAAAAATATCTGCTTTGTAAGAGCTTGTCAAGTGCCTTTGGCACCACTAGTAATCACATTACATCATAGATACAGTATTTCTTCAAGCTTTTTACCCTTATCAACCCACCTCCTCTTGAGATTTCAATGCTGGTGATAAGCTGTATTTGCTGTGCCCTTACTGCTCCTGTATAATGGTTTGAGAGCTACAGACCTTTGTGATATTTTAAGTTTTTCTTAACTTCCCCCCAAAAACAAGTTTAGCCCTTTTGAAAATGCATGCTTTACGTTTCGTCTCATTTATGAGGTAGTTACTGCCATCCCTGTTTCCCCATAAGGAAATTGAGGTCACATTTTTAAAAAGTTACATGACTGATAAATGGGGGGACCCAGGTTTAAACCTGCATATTCTATCTGCAGAGCACACACAACCCTTTCTACATCTATGTTACCTCTCCAGGAAGTTCCTGGTGGTGGGACAGAGGACAGGACTAACACAGATACCTGGCAGAGGGGAGCTGCCACAAGAGATGTCTCACTCCAGATTCATCCCAGAAGGGGACTGTGGGGATGGGAGAAGCTCTTGAAACTTCTGACATCTGAATGAGGTCTAGAAGATAGATCTTACATTGAGGAAAAGGCCACACCAGACAGAGCCACTGTCTGAAATACTGTTTCAATATTGTAGGTTTCATAGGCCACTAATTGTATATGATCATCAAGCTGATGTTTTAAAGCATTTTCATCAACTTATCTGTAAGCATCTTTCTGTCTTTCCCAGAGTCTTTCTTCCAGGGTGTCTCAGCCTGGGGGGAGGGAGACTTTTGCTGAAGCAGTTGAAGAGAGAAAAATTCAAGTCTGTGATCATTGCCTCAGAGTGGCTTTACATAACCCACTTAGTTACTCCGAGCCAGTTTCCCCATATATCAAAGAAAGATAAGGCCTCTCTGGGTCCCATTCTCTAAAGATGTGGTGCAAAACCTGTGCGATCAGAAATGTGAAGTGAAAGTTCTTTATGAGCTGTCCAGTTGCCATGGTTCCAGATGGCACAGTGTCCACCAGGGGCTGAGTGGATTCAACCATAACATGAAGTTCTCTTGCTGTTTGTTTTTCCTTCTAGTTCTGAGAATTCAGGGAACATGATAAAGAATTGGCTGCTTATTTTTATCCTTTTTCATCTGAAGCTCATAGAGAACTGTGGTAAGTTTTACAATGGATCGTCAGCTGTGTAAAGAAGGAAATGGTTAGAATATGTAGGCCAAGTTTAGTACTGTCCATGCCACTTGTCTGCCTGCTTCTCCGGCAGGGGTGGTAGGCCAGACCCAAGTCTGGGTTCCCGGAGCTTTACAAAGAGCTGATGATTCCACAAATAATTGACTTTCTCAAATAACAGGCCCTTGGGCCCTTGTTCCTTTTTCTACATCACCAAAGTCAACAGTTGGTTCTTAGTATCAGATTGTATATCTTGTTCTCCAAGTCAAACTTTGGAGCACCTGCAAGCCAAGATAGTATCTGTAAAGAATGGCTTATGCCTCTGTCCTATAGACATCACCAAAAGAGCCCGTGGGTCCTAGGAAGCACTGGGGAGGTAGATGAGGTGGCCACCTTGTTGTACCTGGTTTTGCAGAGGAGTCACCTGGCATCACCTTGTAAGAGACAAAAACCTACCTTAGAGGAAGCCGGAGGAACAGGGTGCCGCACCTCAGCAGGGCTGGTGCAGAGGCACACAGAGCACAGGGTTTGCATATTCTTGTAGGAGGACCCCTTCAAATCCTGTGTCATTCCAGCAAGACTCCCACTACCCAAAACATTTCTGGAATTTCTTCTGTGAAGAGCTTTCGTTTAGCACTCCAGGGGTGCCAGGACCATTACAGCACTGATCATTAGCTTAACTGTATTTGTTATAAAAGCAAATACATCTTAAAATCTCTTGACTAAAGAGTTCAAATGAAGCTGGTACAAACAATATAAATCCTGCACACATTTCTCAAGAGTCATGCACAGTGTGGCCCCACCATTTTTATGATCTGGCCTCTTGAATCTCCCAAGAAAACAGTAGCATTCTGATACGCTCTTCCAGATTTGTTAAATATCAGTCATGTTACTCTGTAGTCACACCTGTGGATAAGCAATTTCTGAGAGAGGAAAGTTCCTTCTGCCCATGGGGCATAGTGTTTCTCAGGGATGCCAGAGCCTTACTCTTTCCTACTGGTCCGTGCTCTCTGGGAATAAGGCCTGAGTGTGTATGCAAGTGAGAGTTGTATGCACATGCTTCTGTGCACACACATGGGCAAACACATTAAAGCTTCTTTACTAATGCTAATACTTACCCAAAGAACAAACAAATTCAGCTACTGCAACTCTAGTTAAGTGGAGAGGAAACTGAGGCCCAGGTAGGATGGAAGGCTTTCCTGAATTTACAGACCTAGAAAGTAACAAAGTTCGGATCTTCATAGGATCTCTGCTCCCTTGTGTGACTGCCTCCTTTCCTGAATGCCATTGTGAAAGATGAGTAGAAGTTACCAAAAAATCAGGTGACTGGATTTCTAACACTCAGATGTATCTGTCTTTGCTTTGCTTTGGGAATGCTTAGTAAGGATTACCGGTGACAGGACTGGCCTCCAGTTTTTTCATCTCTGACTTGAAGAAATGTAAGGCAATGCTGCCTAATGGCAAGAACCTGGACTTTGGACTAGACAGGCCTGGATTTAAATCCTGTCTCCACTATTTTTGAGCTATGTGGGCAAGACACCTTGCCTCTTGGAAACTTCAGTTTACTTGTGTCTAAAGTAAGAATAAAAATACCTACCCCTTATTGCAATAATTACAAAATGGGAATTAAGAACACAGCAGAGTAGCTAGCATGGGGTGGGGTCCAGAGTGGGGAAAATGCCAGTGAGTATTAGTTTAAAAAAAAAAAAAAACAGACTCCCATTAAGGGAAATTCAGGGTGGTCTCACTGTAACTCATTTGGTAATTCTGAGAGAATTTATGAAGGCTACAACCCCAGAGCAAACTTTAAAATGTGCTTTCTCTGGATATGTGAACTTCTAAACTGCCGCCTATCTTGGGCCAAAAATGTCCTGCAGTTACAAACTGATGATAAAAATAGTAACCAGCAATTATTTAGCCCTCAGACCATGTGGAAAGCCTGTCACAAACACAGTGTCACAAATCTTCAGTGTTCCTGTGAGATAGGTTTTATTTTCCCCATTTTACAGGTGAAGAACTGTAAGCGCAAAGAGGTTAAATACCTCACTTACTGGCCACACAGCTAGGAAGTGTCAGAGACCGTATGGAATTGTGTGAGCTCAGAGCCCAGTGTGTCAGCTGCTTTGCACTGCTGTCTTCTGTGGTGCTGAGAGGGAAGTAACCTCTGGTCTGGTACCTTGAGAGTACTAGTCTTCTCCTTTAACATGGAAAGAGTATGGAGATCTGAACACACCCCAACCACCATCATAGCAGAGCCTACAGACCCAAAGCTATGAGTGGCTTCCTGGCATCACTTTGTGTCCCTGTCTTGAGCAGCGGCTTGTTCTGGGACTTGCTTATCAGGTGTGGTTCTGAGCTCTAGTAACATTGAACAGGCAGGGACAGCAAGTCCTGAACTATCCCAGCTGGGCAAGTCCAGCACAAAGCCTCCAGTTGATACCAGAGTGGTAGGCATGAAGAACAAGGACAGGGTGGCCAAAGCTGCCTCCAGTGAAGGGAGGACTCGGCCCACTCTTTGGCCTCTGTAAGGGCCAGGGTGGGGATATCCTGCTCTGAGGGACCCAGCCTCTCAAGAAGGGACTGGAAACTTTGGAGAATTGGAAGGCCCTAAAAGGTTCACTTTAGAACCTGCTGATAAATGAGTTCACTTGGCCCTTGCCAATCTCCCCCCAAGATAGTTCTCTAAGACCCAACCAAACCTCCTTCCTCATTCCGTGGAGGCCTATTTAGCTACCGTATCCTGAGTTAACACCTTAATGCCGAAAAGAAATCCTTGATAGTGAAACTGGCGTTCATCATTCTCCTCCAATCCCCCACATATGCTCAGCCTCAGGAAGAGATCTGTGGGATTCTACACACAGTAGAGGCTAAGAGGTGAGCTGGGTCAGTAAGGGAGGCTAAGAGGCTCTTTAGAAATGTGTAAGTTGTGTTCCGTGCAGCTCTGAGAAGGGAGGAAGGTGCTGGACCAGTTCTTCACCATTTTGTCCCCATGAACAGAGGAGACCCCTGTGGTACCCATCTGAAGAAGTGGTTCCAGTCCACTGTTCGCAATTGGAAATGGTCACTTGAATTGATCATTTTGATCATTTTTGGGCTCCATGGTTCTCAAAATATCTCTGGGCAACTTGCAGGCCCTCAAAGCCTGTCCGTGGAGCTGGGGAGGAGGAAGCTCCAGTGTTTCCTGCTCTGGCCTATGTCACCATCTGTCTCTGTCTCTCAGACGGAGGAGGAACCTAATGAAGCCCACATATCCTGTCCCCTCAGAAGCTTCAAGCTCCTCCCTCTCTCCACCTAGAAAATAGGATGACCAGTGAGTCAGAGCTCATGAGTTCAGATGTCAGGAGTTTTGTGCCCATTTCTCTCCATTGTCCTGAGCTCTCTGATCTGATGACTCATGTCATTGACTTTGGATCCTTCCAGAGTCGACTGTCAGCCTCACTGTTCCTCCTGTTGTAAAGCTGGAGAATGGCAGCTCAGCCAACATCAGCATCACCCTTGGGTAAGTTCACCCCATTCTATCTTCAGCCCCACTTAGACAGGCCTTACAGCTGTGTCAGGGCTGACCCCAGCTCAGTCTGTTCATATCTCAAATGTAATGCTTGCCTTGTAGCTATTGGACCGACCATAGAAAGAACATTGACCGTGGCCCCAGGGTGCAAAGAAGCCATTCCATTCCTAACTCCTGCCATCTCTGCACACCCACACTTTGACAGTCATCCAAGTTGTCCTCTTGCCTCAAAGACTCCCCTCTCCAGAACCCTTGAGTGGTTTCCTGGTGTCCGCTAAATTAACTCAAGCCTCTACGGCTACTCCCAGAAGGCCCTTGTCTCCTTTAGTCAAATTCTGACCTTCACACCAAGACCTGCCCGGATTTGACCCTCTCTGGGAGAGCCTGTCCACCTCCAACTGCCTCATTTGTCACCCACAGTCTGTGTGCTACCTTTTCATGTTCCCACACCCTTACTGGAACAGACATCTACTCTCCTAACAAAGTCAGAAAATGCCTACAAAGTGAGAATTCTTCCACTCCTTCACCCCTCAGGGTTGAATACACAGCATTCCTATTCTTTTTTCTTTTTCTTTTTTTTTGGCGGGAGGGTGGGGCGGGGACCAGGGATCTCAGGACCTGGCACTGTGCCACTGAGCTAGATCCCCAGCCCAACATTCCTATTCTTGATGCTAGAGAAATGAAAGCCCCATGTGAAATCCAGAGGATTGGTTGCAATCTTGTTGTGTTCACTTCTCAGCAGTAATCAGACTCTTGTCCTCCACAGGCAGCCATTAAATGAAACCTTGGTGATCACTTTGGAAATCACATTTCAGTCAAAAAATAGTACTATCCTTGAGCTCCCTAATGAAGTAAGTAATGAATCTTAACTGATGGGTAGGGAAATGCTAGGTAACAAAATGTATGTTAGGTAAGAACTTGTGGCTTCCTTTGTTCCATTATTCTAGAAGTCTGTGATTTAGGCTTTGTTAGTCTCTTTGGGGATAAGCAGTTTATGTCATGTAGTTTGAATTAAAGTAAGAAGCTTGAGGCAAAAGTAGTTATGAGAATGTAGTTGTTTTGTTTTGTTTTGTTTTGTTTTTTGAGACAGGGTCTCACTATGTAGTTCAGACTGGCCTTTTACTCACTATGTAGCCCAGCCTGCTCAAACTTGCAGCAATCCTCCTGCCTCAGTCTCTCAAGTAGAGAATATAACGATTTTCTAAGGCCTTACTGTTTAACAACGTTCATGGACTAGCACAATTGGCCTTAGGGGATGGGGTATACCCAGTGATACAACACTTGCCTAGCCCTGGTTGTGAATTTGACTCCCAGTACCACCAAAAAAATAAAAAATAAGTTTAGAAACACAGATTCTGAGCCCTCATCCCAGACCTACTGATTCAAAGTCATCTTGGTAGCAAGGTCCCCAGGTGATTGGGAGCTATGTTAGATTTTAGGAAGCACTGTTCTGAGACACCACTGGTTGGGTGTCATTTACAAAAACTAGTCAGAGTACCAGAGTACTGTCTGGTATAACAGTGATAATTATTCATAGCTTCGTGCATTTGTCAGTTGGCATATACCCTGCTTCTACCTTCCCAAGGATGTGAGCTAGTGGTCATTCAGCTAGATAAAAGATATCAACAGACAGGTAGCAACTCAGGGGAAATGCTGGTTTTAAAAAGCTGGGTACATACTTGTAATCCCAGGCTGAAGCAGGGGAATCAGAGGTCTGTGGACATCAGCACAATTTAGCAAGACCTTGTCTCAAAAGTAAAAAAAAAATAAAAAGGGCTAGAGGTATAGCTTAGGGGTGAGCATCCCTGTATTCAGTCCTCAGTACAAAAACAAAATGTCAGGATGAACAGCTTCTAAGGTGTACATATAAACCAGTGCTCCAGTAAGTGATACTGCCTAATGATGTTATAGGCACCTTAGTTTGTGTACATACACCCTATGATGTTCATACAGTTGTGAAATCATCTAATGGCACATGCCTCAGAGTACATCCCATTGTTAAGGGACATGTGCTATATTTGAAAATTATTAAGAGATTAGATCTTAAATGTTCCCACCACAGAAAAAATGATGAATCTGTGAGGGGCTGGATGTGTTAAGGGTATGGTAATTAGCGTGATTTAATCATATTATAATGTACACATATATCAAAATATCACATTGTGGGGCTGGGGATTTAGCACAGTGCACAGCACCTACCTGGCAAGCATGAGGTTGTGAGTTCAATCCCCCTACCGGAAAAAAACAAAACAAAAATAACAACAAAATATCACATTGTATATTGTAAATATATGTAATGTATGTGTCAATCATAATAAATCTGGGGGCGACGTAGCAGGAGAGCTATGTAGGGGTGAGCCAGATAACCATGAGGCACATCCTGGGGCCCTTGGTGGTTGTGGAGATGGACTGTAAATGAGCTCTGAGCTCCACAGCAAGCAGACAGCAGTGAAACGTGATCAGGATCAAGAGTTTGGGAATCTGCAGGGCTAGGGCATAGCCTAGTGGCAGAGCACTTGCCTAGCATACATGCAAGCCCCTGCATTGATCCTCAGCACCAGAAAAAAGAAAAGGGAAGAAGGAGGGAAGGTGTCGGTGAAGGAAGGAAGGAGTTTGGGAATCTGTGATCTGACAAATTGCATTGGTGAGAGAGGGCTTCCTTCTCACCAGAAGGGGACTCTGTATGAGAGGTGGACCTCACCCCCAACCCCCATGCACACCATAAAATGTTGGTGCCATGTCTCACAGCTTCCCCAAGCCAAGGGTACAAGGCAGTGCAGTGTGCAGTGCAGAGAGGGCCACCGGTTCTAACAGCATGTCTGGCATGTGGCCCTCTGCAGTCTGCTTTATCTATAGATCACAAACTCTGAGAGGAACAGTTGCTGATCACTTAGTTGAGGGCTAAACATCCAAGTAAGAGTATCCTCTTCTAAAAGCAAGTCAAACTCAAACATGTGCAAAGCAAAAAAGCCTGCCACCAAAGTGCTTGGACTGTAAAGTGAATCTGTGGTGTCAGGAGACTAGAGGGGTGGAACAGGGCTCCTGGGGTGTTGGAAATGTTTGTTTCTTGATCTGGGAATTAGAAGCATTCAGTCTGTGGTTATTTCGTCAAGCTGTGATGTATAAATTTTTTCAGCTTTTTTTAAACTATCCCACCTTTATAATTACAACTAACAAACATACCTTATATTCCAACAAATATATTCATTATTAAGTAAAAATAATTTAGCAATAACATTAAAATTGTACATAATCTGTACATGTACTGTTAATGGCTAATTAATAGATACAGAGAACCACAATTACACTTAATACTGTTTGCTGCTACAATAGTAAGTGAACAAAAAGTTCTGAAGTACCAATTACATTAAAAGTCTATAAGCATGCTTAGTTTCACTATTTAAATTTTATGTGATAAGATACTTCATATCCAGAAATATACATAAATACTAAGAGTACAGATTTGAGATTTGAGATCTGTAAGTAAAAAAAATTAATAATGGGAGTCACACAAATCATTTATATAAGATAACTGCATGGGCACCCAAACCCACCTTTCAGGCTGCTGCCTTACTGTCTCCACTGCATCCAGCTCTAACCTCTCCCGACCCCTAAGGATGACATCAGAAGCCACTGGTTAGAATCTGGAAGTCAGGTGGTCTAGGAACCTGGCCACTGAACCTTGGGTAAAATACTTCAGCCTGACATAGCAGTTTCCTCATTTGTAAACACAGCAGTCATAACTTCTACCTGAGCACATTCTGGAGATTAAAAATAATAATATCAAGTATGAAATAAATGTCTGGCATTATACCTGGCAGGTAGAAAGCATTTGGTAAAAGCCAGGGACCATTATCATTTCATTCTGCCTTGTTTTGGTAGATTTCTGATTGATTGACTAATTTCTCCCTGCCTAGCTCCAAATGGATTTACTAGATACTGACAGATATGTAGCCAATATTACAAGGAGACTGTTAAAAAGAAGAAAAAGGAAGGTGCTAGGAAAATAAAAGAACCAAAAGTGGAACCTGTTATCAAGCTATAGCCCGCAGGGCACATTGAAAGAGGCTTTCACAGCAATTGAAAGAGGCTTTGTAGTAGCCACTTACCCTACTTCCATTGTTCTACCAAAGCCCCTGATTTCTGGTCCTAAAACCAAAAAGGCAGTGCCTCAGGGGTCCTCCTGAAGAAGGCAGTGCTGCTTAATAAACCCCATTCTAAACAGCCCTGCAATATGGGTTGAGGGTGGGACCCAGAATATTACACAGGGAGCAAACAGATTGAATACTATGAGAGTTTAGACACATTCCCACTCCCTGCTGTTCTGGGGCAGTTTAAAGTATCAGGAGAAATGATTGGGAAATCATATGTGGCAGGAAGGCCTCCAGGTCCATTTCCCTGGAGATTTTTTTTTTTTTTAGGGGGATGGAACCCACGGCCTCTCACATGCTAGGCAAGCAGCTCTCTACCACTGAGCTACAGCACCAGCCAGAGCAGGGATTTTGATAAATATTGGGAGGAATGTAGATGAAGCCATTCTCTTTGCCAAGTGTGAGATATTTACACCTCCTCTGTTCTGTCAGTCAGCAGCCAGGAAGGACATGAGGCAGACATCATTCATAGACGTCAAGGAACCTCGTAATGATGGAAATAGAAGTAACATGGTTGTTGTACAGTTGTGGTAGGAAGTATTCACAGTTCTCCATGTGCCAGGCTCTGTGCTATAAGATTTTCAGATATCCGGTCACTCGTAGCAACCCTGTAAGGAAATACTTGTGTTATTTCTGCTTACAGATGAGCGGACTGATGTCAAACCTTGAGTAACTTTCCTGAGATCACATAGCTAGTGAGAGGAAGAACACCATCTCGCCTTCCCCGAGAGATTAGCCAGAGGGAGGACCCAAGGACTAGGCTCCAGTTCTGCTCAGAAAGTCTCACACAGGGCTGTACAGGATCGAACTGCCTGGCCAGTCCAGCATTTCTGCCTCTGGTTAGTGAGCTCTCAGAAGGCAGGACTTGTGTGCTGTGTGCCTCTGTTGCCTGTTCGCAGTCTGGAGCCAGGTTCTTGGTGGGGACTTCAATAACTGTATGTGGCCTCAGAATGAATTCAGTCTTCCTCACAGGTTGTAGTGCCTCCTGGAGTGACACAGTCCTCCTTTCAAGTAACATCTCAGAATGTTGGACAAGTGACCGTCCGTCTGCACAGAAATCATTCCAACCAGACCAGGTAATTTTGGGCCTCTGCTCCCATCCATGTGGACATTAAAGGATGGAAAGGGAGGTTGCAGTGGGCACAGAAGTCCAACCTGAGTTCATCCCATCCCCAAATCCTTTTCTAGCTCAAGGATACTCTTCTTTGTCATCCGAAGCAAAATCATCAGCATTATAAACCAAGTGATTGGCTGGATCTATTTTTTGGCCTGGTCCATCTCCTTCTATCCTCAGGTGATCAAGAACTGGAGAAGGAAAAGGTAAGAATGGGTGCCTCAGTGGGGCAGCAGGCAGCGTGGCCTCAGACCCACTGTATTCTCTGCTCTGCCTGCCCTTTCAAGAAAGCTGTCCTGACGGGAAATCTCTCTCCAAGAGCTTAGGTAGGATTTCCAGGGCTGGGCACTTGGTCCCTTGCTTGGTCCAGCCCCTCCTAGGAAAGCAGCAGCATGAGACCTCTCAGTTAAGCCAAGAGCGGCTGGGTAGAAGAAAGGCCACCAGAATCTCCCCAGCCCTGGAAAACAGGTGTCACATCATGCTCCCACAGCCCTGGAGACTAAGCACTCCCACTGTGATCTTAGAAGTGAGGGTAGGCCTGGGGTTACATCTTTGTGAAGCAAGGGCACAAGCTCTCTTGCCATCTCCCTGGCCGTGTGGGCTTCTTAGCAGAGAGCCAGGGAGGTAGATGCTGCCTCTCTGCAGGAAGCCTCCACACCTCCCAGGCCAGGACTGGAGGAACAGGATAAAACTCAGGAGCACAAGGTGAGAAACTGCTCTCAGGAAGACGGGGGTTGGGTGGCGTCGATTGTGGTATGGAAGGAACCTAAAGATAGTGCCATGCTTGTGACCAGCAGAGCCCTCCTTCCCTGTGTGCCAGGAGCTCTGTCCTTTCCCGCTCCAGTGGTCCCAGGCCTCACTCCTGCCCTGCTTCATCCTCTCTGCCCTCTGCAGTGTTGTTGGTCTGAGCTTCGATTTCTTGGCCCTGAACCTGGTGGGCTTCGTGGCCTATAGTGTGTTCAACATCGGCCTCCTGTGGGTGCCCTACATCCAGGTATGTCACTGCCCCCCTCACACACACAGCCACCGAAGCCACTTGACAGCCAGGCTGCTCCTCACCTCCCAGCTTCTCCCCATTCCCAACAGGAGCAGTTTCTCCTCAAACACCCCAATGGCGTGAATCCGGTGGAGATTAATGACGTCTTCTTCAGCCTGCATGCATTTGCCCTCACCCTGATTGTCATCGTACAGTGCTGCCTGTATGAGGTGAGGGATGAAGCCTGAGCCAGTAACCACCCCCCAACCCTCATGCCACTGCTACCTGCTGTTCCACCTAAGATCCCGACCTCTCAGAAAGGACGTTTTCATTCATTCAGCACCTACTTCCCAGGCCTAAGCCATGGGCCATGCCCTGAACAGGGGGGTGGGGACATGCACACGACACACACAAGGAATACCCCCCTTTACTCAAGCTCTCAAACCGCCCCCCAAGTCTCAGGTGAGGGACACAGAGAAAAGCAGGCTGAGAGCTGTTTGGAGGGGGACACACAGACAGCCATCGAGCAGAGGAGAGCCCAGAACCAAGCTAAGGAGTTGCGTGGGAGGGAAATTGTCAGGAAAATGGCGCCTATTGTCCAAGGGGGATGACGTTCCTGTAGTAAACAGAAAGGGATTGGGACAGAACTGTGGACGCCAAGGGGCATTTGGGAGGAACTGTGAGCAGATGGGGATGGCCAGGACTCGGTGCCAGTGGGTGAGCCACCTGCTGAGAGAGGTGAGGAAAACCCTGGACTCAGTCTTGCTGCTGGAGTCTCCACAAAGAGACCCCTAAGGCATCAGTTTTGCTTTCCCTTCCCTATGGTTGTGCCACCTCCCTCAGGGAGTTCCCTTCATTTTCTGCAAGGCCAGAGAGGGTTGTGCAGCTTCTATCTTTGTGAACTTTCTAGGTCTTCTTACCCTTTGTCTGGTGAAGAAGGCCCACTTTGGAGCCATGTCTGAGGAAAGGTTGGTGTAGTGAAAAAAGGACAAATTCCAGAGACCCTCTAACCCCATCCTTTCACTCGGTCTCCAGTGTGGGATCTCATGACCCTGGCACCCAGTGCTTCTTCAGAATAGTTTCTAGAGGGCCCCAGCTCTGCAAAGTGGGTCCAGGAAGTAGACAGGAGCCAGAGAATCCAGGATGGACAGAACAAGACACCCTGAGAGTAAACAGATGGGCTTAGTGCTGAGGACAGGAGAGGCGTGGCACCTCATCCACTCATTCCATGGCCAAGATGGAACCCACAGAACTCTGGAATCTGTCCCCAACCCTGCCTTTCCTTGGACACAGCCCAAGTGCAGGCCAAATAGCCCCTTCAGCTCACCCCATACCCCTTCTTCTAAGCCCACCTACTCCATCTGTGGCCATGCCCTCCTGAGACCTTGCAGCAGCCTCTCCTCTGGCCCATCTGCAACCCTCCCCTTCTCCATCTCATCCTCAGCGAGGCAGTCAGCGTGTGTCATGGCCCGCCATCGTCTTCCTGGTACTTGTATTGCTCCTTACCGTCATCTCCATGATTATAGCTGCAATCGGGATAACCACATGGCTGCAATTTCTCTTCTGCTTCTCCTACGTCAAGCTCGCTGTCACGCTGCTCAAGTACTTCCCACAGGTACTTCAGGGCCTTCCTGCGTTTTCAAATGGCTGGTAGCATGAGAGAAAGTGAGAGATACTTAGCCTGAGGGCTCCCATGAGTCAGCTTTTGCCAGGGCAAGGAGATGAGGGCAGAAAGCTGCAGTGGAGCTGGTGAGCCCATACTGGCAGAGTCAGCTCACACGAGGAAGTCAGTGGAGGCTCTCAGATCTTATGCACCCCAGTCAGGGATTGGCCAGGTCCTTATCTCTGACCGCCTCTCATTACCACAGTGGCAGCAGGAGAATCAGAAAAGAGTACACAGAAACTACCTGAGCTCTGCAGTCACCTTATAGGCAGAGATGTTCTCCCTGTTGTCCATCAGCACCTTCCCATGAATCCTAATGGCCCTGTCCAGGTCTGGAGACGTTAAGAGTCAAACGCATCTTCCCCACGGGGGATAATGACCCAAGACAAGGGCTAGTATGAAGTAGCTGCCAGCTGCATACTTGTCCCTGCAAATCTAGGACTTCATTTAACTCATCTCTGGTGGGGAACCCCTTTTCAACTTTCTTGCACAGGGAGCTTTGTGTCCCATGAACTCAGAAGGGAGAGCGCTGGCCAGAAACAGCACTAGAGCCTGAGGGAGACAGCACTTAAGTTCAGTAGCCCTGCAGGCCAGGCAGCTTGTGCAGGAGACTGGCTGCCTAAGCAGCACCGGGAATGTTCAAGCTGGGAACCTAGGTCCCAGGAGGGTTGGGATCCTGAGGAAGGGACAGTCTCTGGGGAAGTGGCCTCCATCCCTGCATGTGGGAAGTCCTGGGGCTGGGAACCTAGGAAGCAAGCACACCAGTGGGAGAGGTAGCAGGAAATACACAAGAGGTTGGGAGAAAACAAGGACATGGACCTGAATCCCACCAGAGAGACCAAGCACTCCCTCCCAAGTGATAGGACAACAGGTGGTGCCAGGCAGAAGCCCAGAGACACCATAGGTTTGGAAGGAAGCCGTTAGGACCGGGGTAGTAAGAAGAGGAGAGTATCTGAACAAACCCCACTAGACCTGGGGAGTCCAGGCAGAGACCCTGGAGCCCTGTCATGGCCAGGATTCACACCAGCAAGTCTGGTTCCCAGGCTGTGCTCTTAAGTACTGTGAAGAGTCTAAGCTGAGTATGGGGACAGCTACACTGGAGGTAAAAGGAAGAATCAGAGTCCTGGGAACCTGGGCATTGCCTGCTAGGGAGGATGGCAAAGTTGGGCAGGGCAGCACCCCTCACACCCACTGGGGTTGAGAGGTACCAGGGTGGGAGGAGGCAGTTTTGCTTGCCCTGCATTAAACCGAGGTCCCAGAACACCCAAATATTCTCTTGGCTGAGGCGCTGTTGGAGCCCAAAGGTCACCGTGTTCTTTGGAACTGAGGCCCAAGCACATGAGTGGGAGGAATCAGAGCTGCCCTTGTTTGGAGTAGTAGTCACAAGGCACATGAGGCAACCTCCCAACCCCCTCCCAACTCTCCATCTGTCTGTCTGGCCCAGGCCTACATGAACTTTTACTACAAAAGCACCGAGGGCTGGAGTATTGGCGGCGTGATCCTGGACTTCACAGGGGGTACCTTCAGCCTCCTCCAGATGTTCCTTCAGTCCTACAATAATGGTGAGTCAGCCAGAGGCCTGCCTCCGTCCAGTGAGTAAGGGCCAGGTTTGGGCAGGCATCCTGGGTCTCCCTCCAGCCAAGGCTACGCACCAGCCCAAGTCTGGCAGCCTAGGAATCCAAGCTAATCCCAACCCCAAAGAGAGATTCACCTAGAGGCTTCTGCAGCTGGAGGATGTGCAGTTTCCTGGGCAGATGGGGACCCCCACCCCCAGTGCCCACAGTCCCACATGCTCCAGCTGCCCCAGGAACTGCCCCCTAAAACTGAATTCTATCCCTCTGGCTGTTAACAGACCAGTGGACACTGATCTTTGGAGACCCAACCAAGTTTGGCCTTGGCATCTTCAGCATCTTCTTCGATGTTGTCTTCTTCGTCCAGCACTACTGTTTGTACAGAAAGACACCGGGGTACGAACAGCTGAACTAGCACCCCGAGACCCACTGTAAAAACAGCTGGGGCTGTGGCTCTGGTGGGGAAGGCTGCACTTTACAGAGACCAGAGAAGTGGCTGGGATGCGGGCTGGTTCAGTGTGCCACCAGAGAAGCAGTCTCGCTCAGGGCCAAGTGCCTTAAATGCAACCAACCTGCCTTTGCCCGGGCCCCTCCATGGCCACGGAGGATCCTCGCTCTGGGAGAGACACCTGACTGTGCTCTGAGACTGAAAGCCAGACGTCAGGCAGCCCCTCCCAACCTCCCCAAAGGTCTCAGCCCCTGCCCGGCCGCATGGGCAGGGCACCTGGCGCTCCTGCATCTTGATGCACCATCTCTCTTTCCTTTAAGGCTTCAGGCAGCACACACAGGTCCTGACAGTCATCCCAGTCAAATGCTGAGCCTGCGGCCGGAGGCCTTGCCTCAAACAACCAGTGTTTCTGGGAGCAACTTGAAAGGCTGAGCTTGCAGCCGAGAGAGAACAATGGTGCCTTGCTGCCACCGCTGTGTTCACAGAGAACAAGCAGCCAGGTGCTGTCCCAATGGACTCAAAGGTGCCAGTGGTGGAGGGACGAGGACTTTGGGGTTAGGTCTTGCAGTCCATTCTCTGAAAGCCACATTCCAGACACCTGCTCATTCTACGTTAACTCTGCTTCCGTGACTGGTAATTGGTGCCCCAGGCCAGCGCCTGGTAAAGAGTACTCCTGAGCCTCTGTCAGGTGGTTCCGGCCAGTGTCATGCCCTGTACCCTCTGGGTCTTGACCACAGTCAGATATCGCAGTAACTACTTTCAGAGTTTGTGAAGGGATGTTCTGGAAGTGGCTCACTCTGTTTTGCCTACTCTCCTACCTCTACATTCTGAGTCAGATAGGGCCCCATCTGAGCACCTCCACTGCTGCTAACCCAGCACCTGTAGAGCAGGTCACACCCCCTCTAACAGTCTGTGCCTTAGAGGCCTGTTAGTCCTGCCAAATGGTGAGCAGCTCCCCTAGAGGGGAGGGCAGGCCCCTTCCCTCTCTTTCCCCAGGCCCCTGAGACTCCAAGTTCTTGGTTATGGAGGAGTCCCAGAGAACTTGAGGCCCACACACACACACTGCTTATGGACCCAAGCCTAGTCTCAAAGCTCCTTCTCCCCCACCCCAAGCTGTTGTCCTACAGCAGGAGATGGACCTAGGACGTGCCTTGTACATGCCTTAAGCTTATCGATACACTCTGTTACTCAAGACCAATGGGAGGGCCCTGTAAAACTTGGCTTTTGTAAAACTTGGCTTTTCTTTTCTGCATACTGTGAGCATTTGCTGGATGCAGAAAGCAGGTATGCTGGCCTGCAGAACCAAGTCCAAGTCCTTGGGGCTTAGGAGCCAGCTTTGCTCATTTCCTGTAAAGGCAAGCATGGGGCTGTGGAATTCATTGACCCCAGGTGGCTGTGTGCTGACCCTGCGCTTCACCGGGGGGAAGCCCTATTGGATAGTACAAGACACCTTGGGACCAGGTAGGTCTGTGACAGGTATGTCTTCAGTGCCAAGGCACAGCAACTGGTCAAACTATACATATGAACAGGTTGGAATATTTAAGGGCACAGTAGCACTGGAAGCAGGTGCAGTAAGGTCTTATTCTCCTGATTCTTGCTCTGTCCTGCTGTAACAACCAACAAGGAATTTAAAGTAGTCTTTGGAGCAGACACTGCAGCCTTAACAAGCCCATAGACCTGTTTGATTTCAGCCATCCAGTTGTTTTTATAAAGTGTGTTACTGGGCACTATACTTTAAAAATGAGAGATTTCAAATTCTGGACTTTTCTTTACAAATCTGATTTGGCAGTGCTAGGCAGGTCCCGAAGTGACATCTTCCCAGAACAGATAAGCAGAAGCCCAGGTGCTTTCCGGCTCACCATCTGGCTAGCTCTTGGCCCCTGAAAACATCTGGAACTGTATCCCGTCCTGTGGCTGAGGGCATTCCTAAACCTCTTAGCTGTTCCAGAACATGAATCCATGAGTGTCCAGCAGGCCCCTCTCAGGTAACAGCTGAAGCTGAGTTACACAAAGGAAGCTAGGAACACTTAGGTGCTTCACCAAAAGATAACACACTCCAGGGACTCCACCCCAACTGCAGTGAAGATGTATAGACTGGGCCCTTGCCGAGGACAATGATGAGGTAGAATCCAGGGCTTCACACTAGGCTAGTGTTCTACCTCTGAGTAACACCTTAGTCCCCACAGCCACGCACTTTGAGTTGGGCTTTGTCCCACAGCAGCAGAGGACAAGCCAGCCTCCTTAAAACCAAAGCATTTGTCCAAGTCCACCTCCAAATAACCCTAACGTATACCTCAGAAGACTCCCATGAATTCCAGCGTTGTTTATTAGGCACAAGATGTCAGACGTAGGGCAATGTCACGCTGCCCATTTCCACAGTAAAGTAAGGCTTATTCATGTGTCAAGAGTAAATGCTCCCAGATGTGAATTAGTAAGCTAGCTTCAAAAGTAGAAGTGGTATCTTCCAAACAGTAAGATAAAAAACGATCTGTGTCAAAGTTGTGATTAAAAAAATACAAAAGGTAAACTCACAGGTGTAGAGAAAAGTGGCAATCCTGACAGCTGCCCAGAAATGTCAGCCTTGAGCCTCATTTAAATCCCGTAAGCAGGCAAACCCTGGGGAGGCCAGCACCCCTCATGGGAGTGAATGGGAGCCTGCCCGTTTCCATCCGGGTGAACCTTCATTGTGCCTCTGGCAGCGTGTGGGTCCAGCCCGCACTGGGCAACATGGTGGGTGAAGTGTGGGGAACAGGCACCTCAGAAGTGACATGAGAGCAGGGCCAAGCCCTGCAGCCAGGGGCAAATCAAGAAAAGCTGGCCCCACTGGCATTCCCCAGCTTTGGCAACTCTGAGAAAGTAGTGTTTCCTGCTAACCTGGACTCTGCAGCAGTCAGGCCATATGGTCTGGGGGCTGAGCCTGTGGTCACTGCAAACCTGCTACCACTCAGCTCCAGGCCCTTGTTTCTGATCCTCAGTGTCCGAGGGAGAGAGGGGGTCCCAGAGCCTTGCCCTGGGAGGAGTGGAAGGAAGGCTGGCTCAGGCCTCGGGGATCAGCCGTTGCCCTTCTGATGTGGGACCTAGCACGCAGCAGAAATCAGGAAGAGCAGCAGACAGAGCGTAGAAGTGGGGTCACTGTACAAACAGGTGGCAGGCACGAGCTGGAGACTGTGGCTGGCTGCTAAGACAGCATGGACTGCTGCACCGCCTTCTGTAGCGACTGTCGTGTCACCAGGAGACGCACGACCTCTTCCGAGCGCTTGGTGAGCCGCTTCCGGGCTTGGTCATGTGTGACCATGGTCATGTCCCAGCCATTCACCTAGCCCAGAAAGAGAACATAGCCCACCTCAGCTTCTTGACCTCTGAGATCTGGAAGCAGAGGGCTCTTGGGGATGGGAGCCTGGGTACCAAGCAGGTCCCCCAAGCTGATATGCCAACCCTGAAGGTGCCCTATACCACAGCCAAGGCACACAGGAGAGCCAGCTTCCTCCACTACCAGCATGGGTTCTAAAATAGCTTTGGTGAGTTCCTCCCACCGGGAGGCCTGCCCCTTGACCCCAAGTGCTTCAGCCCCTCCTGCCCAGCCTTTGTTTTCTTCCTGTGGAGCCCTTGTTACCTGCATGATCTTGTCTCCAATCTGCAGCCCAGCAATTTCAGCAGGGCCTCCTTCAGACACCCGTGTGACATAAATGCCCTGGAAAGAAGAAACCCAGGTTAAGCCCTGTGACCACTGGACCGGCCCCTCCTCTACTCAGCATGGTATACCCCCAGCTATCCCTATCTCTGTGCCCAGCACCCCAACCCCTAGCATATCCGCTGGTACAAGCTGAGCAAAGACCTCCACAGTGACTGTCCCAGGGGTGCTCCAGCTGGTGCTCTTCCTAAGCTGTCTGAACAGGCCTTTCTAGGACTCGGAGAGGCCCACTGCTCACCACTAGCCCTAGTTTTTCCCACTAATCATTTCTTCAACCTTCTTAGGATCTTAGAAGGATGGGGTCTGCTCCTTCCACAAGGCCCAGGAAGAAGGGACTCACCATCTCAGCCCTCTGTGCCGTGCGGAGAGGTACACGACCCTAGTCCCCTCACCTTATCTGTCTTGTCTTCAGAGAAGGGGTTCTGAGAGGGATCCTGGTCAATTCCACCTCCAATGCTGAACCCCAGAATTAAGTTCTCTCCTTGACGCAGCTTGTGAATTTCAACTCTTTGCTGGCAAAGACAAAAAAAGTGGGGTAGGTAGATGAGTGGAGAATGCATCTGGACTGTGTCTCCAGCAGCAGCCAGAGCTGCTGGGCCAGCTCAGAGCTATGCCAAGGGGTGGGGCCCAGGGCCCTCTGCAGGAATCCAGCTGGTCATCAGCCTGGGAGGTTGGGACTCAAAACTTGGCCACATGGACCTATCCACATATCCCTCTGCCTTTCCCCTTAGCCGTGGTCAACATGTGGTCTGAGCTCTTTCTGGCCCAAGACCTAGTGTCCTGTGACTTCGGTGGATGAACCACACAGTACAGGAGGAGCCAGGCCCTGAAAAGATGTAGACCCCTTGCTGAGGCAGCTAACTGCTGCACTAGCCCTGTGAGGCAAGACAAGAAACACTCAGGAAAAGATCAAACTTGCCAAGAAGGGAGAAGGGCTGCTGGCCAAGGGAAGCAGAACAAAAGCTTAAAGGTGCTATGGATCTGTGTTCATGAGATCAGTGCACAGCATGCAAGATTCAGAACGAGGTGAGATCTGGAGAAGGTGAGGCTGAGGCTGAGGCTGAGCCAGGTCAGGAAGGCGACAGAATGCAGGCCCAGAGGAGGGGCATCTCCTGAAACCCCAGGCCCTACTCTCGGTGCAATGCCTTAGAGTATTCTAGGGCTCCCTCCTCATGCTCAGGAGCTGTTGTCTCCAACTGTGCTGGGCTCCTTTCACATCCCTCAGCAGGTACCCTCTTTGCACCAGGCCTTGAGGGGATGGTGGGTAGTAAGGTGCCTGACATGGATACTGAACCCACTGGAACTCATGGAGTAGGGGAGTAGGGCAAGGCATGGTTAGGTTTGGCGCTGCAAAGGCCACTACAGTAGTTAGCAGGGGAATGGATAGCACCGAGGTGGGATGAGGATTGCAGAGGGCATGAGCTACTTAGAAATTGAGACCCACAGACTTAGGGACTGCTCATGGGGGCAAGGAACCATGCACCCAGCCACCTGGCCTGGCTGAACACAGCCATCAGAGGGGGGCGCAAGGGGAGCACCATACGGAGTTGGAGTGCCAGGAGCTATCTGTCCAGAAAGGAGACCTGTGGAGCCAGAGTTCAGAGGAAGGGCCAATATGGTCATAACACTGAAAACGTCAACTACATGGGAGAAGGTGGGAGTGGGGAGGTAACCTCCCCACCCACCATGGTTAGGCGTGCCACTGGACAGTTTTGGTCCTATGGCTTTGAGGAAGATGGTGGGGGGCGTTATTTGAGGGAGGGGCAGGAAGCACAAACCCCGGGGGCTCAGCCTAAAGGTGTGAGCTCCAGGCCTGCTCCAACACACAGGCACACCCACCCACAAGGTCACAAAAGACAAACTTGCTCCTTTCCAGCTAAGGGGCAAACTTAAGACTGTTCTTGGTAGGGCAACGGAGGATCTGGAGAAGCCAGGCTGGCACAGGCTGGGTGAAACTTTAGGACAGCTGTCAGCGGGTCCAGCAGTGTTTCCGCTTAGCTCAAGCCCGAATTGGTGGGGCTCTAAACTCATCTCACATGCCACCTTTATCAGTGGTTTCTTTGCTCCTGCCCTCCCGACTGTACAAAACTCTTTAGCGCACACCCATCTGAGATGCCACCTTCAGTCCTTGTGGCTCCAGGGCTAGGACTTTCACTTGACTCACTGCCTGCCAGACAGGCATTTCTTCTCATTTTCTAAAACCTCTGGGGAGTTAGGCCAGGGATCTGGGTCCATCCGGAGGGCTTCCCTTATGAGTCTGGCATGACTAGACTCAGTTTCACCTTTGCCGCAGGATTGGCCTCCAAGCCCCATCAAGTTGTGACCCTGGCATCTATCCTAGTCTCCCTTTGCCTATTCTGTTAGCACCCTATACCCATGACAAACCCAGGAAGTGTCTATGGACCTAGGTGTGAGGCGCGGGACTTGGGACTCTGCCCCAAGGACTGGGTATTCAGGCAAAGTTCAGACACGGATCAAGCCAGTTGTATGAGTATTCGCTCTGAACCCAGCAACAGTTGCGTCCCTGGAGCGACTGGGTCTCTGGGAAGAGGCTGGACGGTAGGGGGAAAGTTGCTTCTATCGCAGGCTGCAGCCAGCTCCAACCCCCAAATCTCCCTCCGCTGGGTGGCGGCGGCTAGAGCAGCGGAAGCGCTTCCTCATTCCAGAGGCTGCGACTCACCGACGTCGGGGCCGGCGCCCGCCCCCCGCGGCTACCCAGCTGGGGACATAGAGGCCCGGGACGGGGGTGCTTTCCCAGACTTCCGCAGCCGAGGCCTTTCTCCTACGTCCTCCGCTCCGGGGCCGCCTGAGAGGAATCCACTCGGCGGCGGCAGTACCCTGGGTCTGTCCTCTGCCCGGGGTCTCGGTAGACTGTTGGATCCCAGGCCTCTGTTTCGTAGCTAGACGAGGCTACAGCACCGCTCCGGCAAAAAAACCCAGAGCTCTGGCTAACAGTTTGCGTGCAGGAGCCCTGGGTTCGATGTTTTATCAATCTGTTTGTGTGTCAGTTTACCGTTCTGCAAGCCAAGACGAAAAGGAGCCCGCGCGAGCACACTCACCACCACGGCGGTGACCGGCTGGCCCGGGATGTAGGACATCTCGATCCAAATGTGGCAAACAAATCACGCTCGGCGAAGCCCGCAGCGAGAATAACCGCGACCGCGCCCTCGCTAGTTAACAAAGGCAGCCAGCTTGGCCCGCCCCCTCATGAATACTTAACAATACTCTAGCCAATCAGCGGTCGGAGCGCTGTCCGGTTTTCGGAAGTCCGGATGCGTGCGTAAAGAAGCGGGAGAAGGAGGAGCATACTCGAGGCGCAGGCGCCGAGGGCGGGTCGGTGGTTCTACGCATGCGCGTCTCAAGACCTCCCAGCAGCCTTCTCCGAAAGATGGCGCCGCGGGAATCTCCACTGCTTCCTGTGTAAGGGACCGCCAAGTGACTGTCTGTCCCCGTGTTCCAGGTAACTGGGAAAGCCTAGCCAGTGAATGGAGACGTTGTGCCGACCCCCGGGTGGCCCAAGCTTTCAGGTTTCTTGGCGTCTTTTGAAGATCGGAGAAGTGGTGCTGGGTTTTGGAAGGCCCGTGCGGGGGGGCGAGCTGAGTGAACCCAATGCCCCAAGCTTCGAGCGCCACTTGTAACTTGGTTTTCTCCACAGCTCTACGTCGTTCAACAAGAGGGCAGAGGTTGAGGCCCGTCAGATGCGATGGCCGCGGTGGTGGCCAAGCGGGAAGGGCCGCCGTTCATCAGCGAGGCAGCTGTGCGGGGCAACGCCGCGGTCCTGGATTACTGCCGCACCTCCGTGTCCGCGCTCTCGGGGGCCACGGCCGGCATCCTCGGCCTCACTGGCCTCTACGGCTCCATCTTCTACCTGCTTGCCTCCATCCTGCTCTCCCTGCTCCTAATTCTCAAGGCGGGAAGGAGGTGGAACAAATATTTTAAATCACGAAGACCTCTCTTTACCGGAGGCCTCATCGGAGGTCTCTTCACCTATGTCCTATTTTGGACATTCCTCTATGGCATGGTGCACGTCTACTGAAATGAGGGCCGGGGTGACTTTTTGAGAAAAAAAAAAAAAAACAAACAGATTGGGAAGACTGTGGTCAGAAGTTAACACCGTGTAGACTTAGTTTTTAAATTGCTGAATTTGCTGTTTGTTCTGTAACGTCATAAGTAATTTATATCTGAGGACAGCTTGTAATATTCTTCAGATTAAATGAAGTGTGAGACACTTTGTGGAGTTCTTTCCTGCCTTAATGCATAGTCTGCCATGGGTGCAGAATCGCCTGCATTCGACTCCTGGAGAGCAGGCATTGGGCCATAGGCTGTAATTCCCTGCATTTACACTTAAGCCCATCAGAGAGGGGTCAACAGGGCTTAAATAAGGAGAGAACTTCCTGTTAACATTGTAAGAACTGATTTAATGATGTTTCCTACATGCCAGGCATTGTGCCTTGTGCTTTTTATCTCCATTATCATTTAATTCTTGCAATAACTATGGAAATGCTACTGTTAATAACTTCTGCTGATGTGGAAACAGGCTCAGAGAGGTTAAGTACCTCTGCCAGAGGAGGCTCAGCTAAGAAGAAGCAAAAGCAGGATTCAGACGCAGTTCTCTTAATTTGTTCTTGCTGAGCCAGCCAGACATGGAGGAATATGGCGTAGTCCCAGCACTTAGAAGGCTGAGACAGTAGAACTTCGAGTTCTAGGCCAGCCTGGGCTTCCTAGTGGGACCCTGGCTCAGAGAAATAATTTGCTCCAGTATTGGCAGAGTGTACCTTTTCACAGCCCAGTGTTCCGGCTAACCACTTCTTCCAGGTGTTAATGGAATCAGTTTCATTTCACCTGGTCACTGCTAGTTGTCTTTCCCATACGAAAAAATAAATTCAAGCTATTTTTCTAGACTATATCGTGTGAAAAACAGGTTATTTGGACTTAAATTTTGGGCTTGTTGGTGTAAATGACTCTCCCTGTGCTAATCCATGATCCTTTTCTTACCAGAAAGATTATCTTATAATGAAATACATATGTTGAATTGAGAAATAAATATTGCATTAGTTATAATTATGAACATGTTGCTTATGAAATCTATAATCTGGGGAAATTACTGTTACAAATTTTACAAATATTTAAATTATGGTAAGTGCTATGGACAGAGTGCACAGGTCAGTCCAAGCTGGGAATGGAGGTCAAAAGCTGTTTTAAAGAAATGACGTATCTGGAGATCTGAAGGCTGGATAACAGCCAACTAAAGTGTAGGGAAGAGAGTACCTGAAAGAGCATGTGGAAGGCCATTGTGCAGGGAGGAGTGTCGCCTTTTATCTGGGGAGTAAGAGAAGAGGCCAGGAGGTAGACCTGGACCAGATAGTGGAGTCCCTAGTAGGGAATTTTGCCTTGATCCTGTGAGCAACTGCAGGAAGGCTTTGGAAGTTTTTGTCAGGTATAATGCGGCTCAGATTGGGATTTTTAAGAAACAGTTAAGTAGGTGTGGTGGCATATACCTGCAATCCCAGCACTCAGGATGCTGAAGCAGGAGGATTGCTATGAGTTTGAGGCCAGCCTGAACTACATAGTGAGACCTCATCTCAAAAAATAAATTTTTTTTAAAAAGTTTTAGATTGGCAGGAGATCTGAGAGCTTAAAGTCCCATTACACCCTGTATGTGGCTTGTGCCCACTAATGGAAATGGATCTGGGACCCAGACCTGAATTTCATTTTTGGTTTTAGTCCACATTTTTGTACCCCAGGCCACAAAGAATCTGAGGCCACAGCTTTGCCTCCTCCTCATAGCCCTTTCTCTGCCCACCACTTAAAATCCTCACATGGTTTGCGTGTCAGTCCTCCCTGACTTCCCTGAGTAAGAAAGGGGGTTTGTTCTGATGCAGAGGAAGAAGAAACAGAGACCCCCTGGGGTAGGAAGAGGAAAGGAGGGAGGATTGGGGGTGAGCTGATTTAAGTTGACCTGATTTTCCTATTGTTGGGCAGTAGGTTTGGAAATTTCAGTTATACTGCAGTGAATATCTTCACATTTATAAATGAGAACAGTTTTAAAGAATTTAATAATCTAGGGCAGAGGACAACAATTCTAAGTGCTCTCCAGAGTTAATAACAGTGGAATGAAAAGTACGTTTTATCAATGCCTTCGTAATTTCTCGCGTTGTTGGTTCATTTAAAAAATTTCCATACTTAGTTTCTTTGCAACGAAACAGGGAACATAATATATGTGGATACTAGTTTTTTGCGTCTACCTCTTAGTTTTTCTCCTTACATTTTCCCCTAAGACATGGAGTAAACTATGAAGATACAAAGGGGAAAAATATCAGGACACATTTAAAATTGATGCTTTTTATTGTTCTAGACCAAATAAGTGTCAGAAAATAACACATATTGGGCAGGTCCCAGAAAGTGTCTCCCATCCTCCCCCCTTTAATTCTGTGTACTGGCTTAAGGGGAAACAGCTGGCAGAATGGTGGAGTGGAGTCTTTTGAGAGAAAGTGTTCTTGGATCCACTGGAAAATGCTCTGGGGGAAGTCATGTTCCTAGTGGGAAAGGTGTATTGGGGTCCTTTTCCAGATACCCAAGGTGCCATCCCAAGTGGGCTGATTTAGGAACTGTGGGTCATAGTAGTCCTTAGGTAGGGTGCTCAGAGACACCTGGAGGAAGGTATTTCCCCTTTTTGTGTGATTCCTCACTGAGAAAGGAAGAAATGGGCAGGGGGCCAGAATGACCCCAGCATCGGGAATGGAGGGCACTTCGCTCTTTTATTGCTGGTCCCTACGATACCACATTGATAGCACCCAGTGTATAAATTTTCTGTTGGCCACCACTGTGGTGCTACCAAAAGCATAGGATAACTAACTGTTAGGGATATACTAAGTGGACCAATTTAGCCTAGGACCTGACTGTAAGCATAAACAATTTATCTGATTCTAGAATATCAGAAATAAAAGGAGCTCTTGGGCTACGGGTGTACCTCAGTGGAAGAGGGCATGCTTAGTAGGTGTGCGTTCCATCTCCAGCAAGGTGGGAAGGGGGCTTGAGAGGCTGGCGCTCTCATCTTCCCCACCAGGCAACCAGTACCCAGAGAGCAAGAGGCTCTCCCTAGGTTTAGAAGGTGCTCATGTTCCTGCTTCACTTTTAAAAGCCCATTTCCATGAGATTAGCAAGCCCTCACCATGGCACCAAGATTATGCAGCAAGTCTGGGGATGGGGCAAGACTGTGCAAAAAGCAAGGCAACTTGGGCAGAGCATGCAGCACTGTCCAGAAGCTGGACTGAAATCCCTGGCCTTTTTGAGCACAGCGTCCTTGACAGGGAGCCAGGGAAACCTCCCAGACAGCTTTGCTGGCCTCCAAGGATCAACTAGGTTGATTAAGTCCTCTAAGGCAATAAAGTTTAATGGGGCGACCCTTATGATGAAAGTCAACTTGATTAAAAGAACACCTCACAAAACATCTCTTTTCATGTGTGGTCCCCTTACCTGGACTACCTCCCCATTGCCTAGGTGGGCTGCTTCCAGCCGTTCAGATTTCAACTCTCACTTCCTTGGGAAAACTTCCTCTAGCTACTTCTGGTTGAAAATCTCTAAGCAGCATACTGAGTCCATGATGCCAGACCAGACCACATGGGTAAGGTTTAATTCTTGCCACACAGGAAGCACTGGAGTGCAGGGAGCAGGTGTGTCGCTCACCACTACAGTTAGTCCAGCACCAGTTATGTTGTAGAGACCCAGCAATATGTACTGACTGACCAAAATGAATGATTGTAGGAAGGCATATTACTCCAATATAAAACACAGTAAGACTCCCCAGTTATATGGCTGCCACCATGCCATTTTAGCATCAAGTTAAAAAGGAACCAGACCAATCCGTAAGCAGCCATGACCCCTGCCTCTCTTACTTCCTCCCAAACACAAAAATAACATGCTAGATTATAAAACCCAATTGGCTTTAGTGAGGAAGTGAAACACCTAAGTGGATCACCTGGATTTTTTGCTTCCTATTCAGAGAGCAGTTTGGCTCACTGACTCCTAGCTCCTGGCTCCCAGGAAACCCAATGTCAGTGAACCAAGTTTCTCTACAACAGGTCCTGCTCTGGGCACCATACCGTTCTGCCAGAGTGGGAACTTCTACCAGGCCCCTTCTGACAACTGTCTCTAAAGGCCCCGGTAGAAGGTTGCTCATCATGACACGTGTGCAGAAAGTGCCCCTTCCAAAGAAGACGCCCCCTGGTGCCCAGAAAGCCACAAGCCACCCCAACAGTGTGGGGGAAAGGGGGATTAAGGACTGTCGTGCCAAGCTATGTAGACGTGTAGACAACAGTAACGAGCCCTTGGGTCCTGACAGGACTCTTCCCACAAAATGAGATGGGGAGAAGTGAGGTAGCTGGCTCCAAGTCCAGGACTGAAGTGTATTCATGTCCATCTCTGACAGAGAAGACTTGGTGTTACAGGAAAAGATTATCTCTTAGGTGACTGTATAGGTAACCAAATGGATTCTTAGCAAACTAAGGGAGTCCTTTGGAGTTTGTAGTGCTGTCTGCCTATGGAGAACAGAGGTAGGAGGGACATTTTTATTTCTATTCTTTTACACCTTTTGAATTTTGAATCATATAAGTATTGCCTACTCAAAATCTTTTAATACAAATAATTGAACATAATGCTGCTTTGGGCTGGGGGTCGGGGTGGGAGAGGGATCCACTGGTCTCAAGGCTGCGTGTGTGTAACTTAGACCTAGAAACTTTGCACCCAAAACCTGGCGTTTCCCTCAGAACCAGGGCTTCTCAGACAAGGTGCTCTTGCATCACCTCAGGATCTTAGGAAAATCCAGGATCTGTTTTGGTGAGATGAAGGGGAGGGCTGAAACTGCATTCTAACAGTCTCCCTGGTGATGCCCGTGCTGCTGGTCCAGGGACCCTTCTTGGAGTAGCAGGGCTGGCTCTGTGCCGCTGAGAGTGAGCTGAGGTGGGGGGAGTGAGGGTTCCCTAACAACTTTACACCTGCGGAGGCAGTGCCATCCTTTATCTCATTAACACTTCAAATGAAGCCTCCGAGGACAGAGCAGGGAAAGCTGGACAGTGTCTCCCAGCGCTGGAGAACAGCAAGAGCAGAACCACACAGGCAGATGCACCCGTCAGATCGGAACAGAGCTGAGCTTCCCATCCCCCTCGCCCATCTTACCTAGAAGCCCTCGGAGTTGCCCTCTCCCCTTAGGAGCCAGCTGCCTCCTGACTGGCCTATTCCTTTTCCTGTCACCTCCTTGGCCACCTTCAACTTTTATCCCTGAGGGAAGGCCAGATGTCCTTTGGTAGTGTCCACAGCTTTTTCTGAGCAACCAACATTCTCTACTGGGACTTGTAAAAGTCTCAGAGGCCAGAAGAAAGAGTGGCCAGACCTGGCTGTGATACCTCTGTTGCTTTTAGGGGGAGTTACACATGTCCCCCTCCCTGAGGAGGGGAGCATGTCCCTACTGGCAAGCAACTTATTAAAGCATCTCTTTTGGTTTTTTGTTTGTTTGTTTGTTTTTGTCTTTTGAAACAGGGTCTCACTGTGCAGTTGAGGCTGGCCTTGAGCTCACTTTGTAGCCCAGGCTGGCCTTAAACTCACAGTGATCCTCCTGCCTCAGCCTCCCAAGTGCTGGGACTACAGGTGTGCGCCACCACGCCCAGCTTTAAAGCATCTCTTAGATAGAGCCCAGCATGAAACATGCATCAATGTTTACTACATGGATGAATAAATGAGTGTCCAATGAGACTCTGGAAAAATTAAGACACTCCAGTGCCACCCAGGCCTCTGGCCTGCTCCCTTCCCTGGGTGCCAGCCCCAGGGCCTCTCTTCTGGATGTGGGCCACTCTAGCTACCAGGAGGCTTCTCTCCTTACAAAAAAAGCTTATAGCAGGATCCCAAAGTACAAGAGAGATGGCTGTCCCCAGAAGTCCCTGTCCCAATGCAGGCATGAGGATACACCTTCCCAGTTCAGAGTTGCAGACTGTTCTGGCCCCGGCATCTTCGAATCTGCTCTCAGCCAACAGCTCTGGCTACGTCCCCACTGTCTGCAGGGTCTGCAGCTGCTGTACATTCACCTTTGCATTCTTCAAGACACCAGTCCTGGGAGGTGGGGCAGAACTGTTGGCACTCTGTCTGTGGCTGGGTCCCCTCCCTAAAGGCAGAGCCATGCAGCGGCCATGCTCATTGGCAGCGTGGTAGGTAGTCAGCTTCTGGAGAAAGGGGCAGCCCATCAAGGTTCCTCGGTGCAGCCCAAACACATGGAGGGCAGCTCTGGAACCACTCAGCAATAAGCAGCAGCAACTGTGGTGGGGTCCGGCAGCCCAAGCCCATGAACACAGCCTCCCCCGGCGATGGACAAGGCTGGACCAAGACAGGCAAAGTGGCCACTGTCTCCCTTATAGTGTACAGATGCCCAGATGGATGCCCCGGCAGTGACAGCTCAAGAAGCACTTGGAGGGCTGCGAGCTCAGGACCACCCTATCCAGGGCCCCCAGCCTCCCCTGCCAGCTGGCCCTGCTGCTGCACCCCACCCCAGCCTCCCTCTGCTGCATCCCAAGCTATTTCCAGGCACCTTCCCTACTGGGCCCAGCCCCCACCTAGAGACTGCCAAACCCTGACTCAGCAAGGGATGAAAGCTGGGGGCTGGAGGAGAGGCCCGTCCAGGCCAGAGAACATCCTGGGGTGTGGTTTACTGTGGGGGTGGGCAAGTGCCCCAGAGAATTAATCTGAAGGAACAGGAGCAGCCTGTGTGTCCAACCCCACTAGGAGAGGAAGAAGGAAGAAAAGAAAGGGGAAGGGGACCCAGAACACAGTAGAGCAGAAGCAGAGATGCTCAAACACAGGCTTCTGGCCTCAGGCCGGGTCTCCTTCCCCACCCAGGCTGAGGTCACGTCTGCAGAAGAGGCCAGGCAGACCGGGCAGTGCCCAAGTCCGCAGAACAGGGACTCGGAGTAATCTGATGGAGGTGGAGGGTTAAGAGGTTGGACCAGGCAGGGAAACCCACTGGAGAACTGCACCCTAAAAACGCCCTGCCTGTATTCAAATCCCAAACTCTGCCCTGTGTTAGCTGTGGGATTTGAACAAATTAATCTTTCTGTGCCTTAATTTCCTCACTAGTAAAATAGGACATATCCGTGTCCACCTCATTAAGTTACTTAAACGGGTTAAAATACACGAATAGCCCAGGGCAGCGCGCGGCTGGGAGAGGTGGTGGGCCAAAGGAAGCGCTGTTGGTATGTGGGGCTGGCACAGCACGCAAGACGCTTGGTTTGCGAGGGGACCCCGAGGCTTGCGGGGCGGGGCACAACAGCACTAGCACCCCAGCAACCCGAATCCAACACGGAGGGATCCCGGTTGTCCGTCTCGCGCCCCGGATTCCCCGCGGCCGGTCCTCGCCGGCTCCGCGCCCAGCGCCTCACCTGGAGGAACGCGGGAGCTTCCCGCACACGCCGCCGTTCTCCTTCCAGCTGCTGCTCTGCGGCGGGGCCTGGGGCTCCTCCTCCCGCCGCTCCCCCTCCGGCTGCTCCTCCGCTGTCTGCCCCTGCTCCATCTCCTCGGTCTCGGCCTCAGCTTCGGCCCCTCGAGCCGCATACTCTCGGCCCCTGGACAGGACACGATCCGTTACCGGAGTCGACCCTGCACGCCCCTCCTGGAACACTGGTTGGGCGGGCCCTGAGCCCTGTCTCCGAGGCCCTCATTCGTCCAGCAGCGAAGTCTGGGGCCAGGTCCGGTGCGCACAGCAGGGCTGGGTTAAGCGCCATCGAGGTAAACTGGCGGGCCCAGGCTGCCCTGAGGCTGAGGAAGCGCGTAGATGCCTGTCCTAGGTCCCCATCCTGATCCCAGCTCTTCCTGACAGCCTTGACCTATCTGTCCACCCACGGCCATCAGGGCTCCCCCATGCTGTGTTCTGCTGCTCTCCACAAAGGCACGCGCTTGCACACACAGCCTCAGGCACACTGCAAACCCACCTATGAGATCCTGGAAAGAGCCCCCCTTCAGCATGGGAAAAAATCCACTTTTTCTTTCCCTTACCATCTAGCCCTTACCCACCAGGACCACCAAGTCCAAGAATCCCAAAAAATCCTAAAACCCTGCCGGAAGGCACTTGTGCATGCCATGCTCTCGCAGATGAAGAAACTGGGGCCCAGGGAGGCCTGGGCCTTTCCAAAATCACACAATGAGAGACGATGGCCTGCGCACCAGGTCTCCTCCTGCCGGCGCGGGGCAGCCTCTTCCTTGGGCTGTCCTGAGGTGGAATCTAGTCCTGTGGAGAAGGTCTTAGGGACTTACCACCTCCCCAGCCCTTTATGCTCCTCCCCCATGCCCCAATCCAGCACCCAGCCAGGTGACAGCTCTAAGCGGAGGAGAAGGAGGAGGGGACTCCTCAAGGACCCCTTTCAGTATGGGGAGGAAACTAACTGACCTCACTTCCTCGTACTTTTTGTCACGGTAAAACTCCCTCTTTTTGATGATGTAGATGAGTACCAGGTCACAGAAGAAAGCCCCCTGCAAAAGATTTGGGGGCCCCAACTCAGGCTCCTGGGCTTCACACTGTTTGATCCAGTAATGACCCATAAGTGGGACACCATTTCCCCATTTAACTCAGGAGAAAGGGGCACCTTACCCAGGGCGACAGAGCTGGTCCGTGGTGGACACAAAGCTACACTAGAGCCCTTCCACCTGGTCTCCCAGGCCCAGCCCCATGCTACACGGACCCTATCCAACCATTTCTTCCAGGCGCTTTTGCTGAGCACCCACTCCATGGAGGATGTGGACCACAGAGACCTTCTAGGGACCCTCCCTCTGCCACAGCAGCAGCAAGTAAAGTATGGTGCAGACGGATGCACCCTGTGATGGGGAGATGCGCAGAAGACGGGGCTTTACTAAGGAGGGGCAACTGGACTGAGTTTTTTGGTTGTTTTTTTTTGGACTGAGTCCTGAGGGCTGAACAGGAGTTTATGCAAAGGCTGGAAAAGGCATTACAGAGAGAGACGCAAGCTAATCCTGCCTGGGAAATGCCACAGGGCCTGCAGGGGAAGAGTGAAATGCACTTTGTAGAAAAGTGGTTGCGAATCAGCCAGTCTGACATCATTTTGAAGGCACTGGTCCTTGTCCTTTAGGTAGGGGAAGGCATGACAGTTAGAAGAGCAGAATTTTAGAAGAGCTCTCTGCCAGTTAGGGCAAGATGGTCTGAAAGGGTCTCAGCCTAACCATCAGGAATGCTACAGCAAGGATCATGGGAGAGAGGCAGCCTGAGCTAACCCAGCTGGGCGGCACTCACCCTTGAACACACCAGTGGAGGCAGAGCAGGCTGGGTGCAATGCCCGTCCTCTCCACCTGAGGGAGACTCCACCCACAGCATGGGATTGACACTCCTGAATGAAGGAGGGGGTGGCCAGAAGGGGCTAATGGAGAGCATCAGGACAGGTGAACTGGTCCCCAGAGGCCAAAAATGTCACTTACCAATTCCTTGTTCCTCCTCCCTCCCTCTGCCTCCATGATCACCTGTTCTCTGCACCGTTACCTTCATTGGTCAGGTGTGTTCCCAGTTGTCCAGATTTTGCCCACATCATAAGAAATAGCATATACACATCTGGGGGGAGGGGTCCCTAAATGACTGACTGCAGTGAGGGGGAACCCATTTAGTGCTCACCTAATCACTCTCAGGAGCACAGCCTTCTTGAGTCTGTCACAGCACCCAGTTTTTCTGGACTCAACAAAAAGTCAATCTGAGGTTCTAACAGAATCCTCCAATGGGGCTGCTGAGGCTGCTCACACCAAGGGATGCGGACAGGGCTGCCAGGAACCTTGGAAAAGAACTTGTTGGGATGTGGGTAAGGTGCCCACTGACCATTCCCATGTACTTAAATCCTAGAAGTGCAAAGGGCACTCCAGGCATTTGGAGAAAACTTTCCCTGCCCCCAGCCATGACTTTCTCTCAGCTGAAGGGCCACTTCTGAGGAAAGAAGGTAGGACTGTATTGCCTGGCCCTCATCTTTTTAGCCCACTGGTTCTCAGCCAAAAGGCATTTCTGGGCATCACAACTGCGGGGAGCATGCCACTGATATCCAGTGAGTAAAGAGCAGGGATTCTCTTAAACATAGTACAATGTTGGGAGCCATTGAAGCTGGATATTGATCATATGTGTGAGGGCAGGATAAAGCCAGAGTTCCTCAAGCAGGCAAGCTACCTCAGTATTGAAAAAAGCATCCTGCCTGGACAATTACAGTCATTAGTTGCTAGGCAACATTACCTCTCCTGATATTAACTTTGCAAGAGTATAAAATAAACGCCCCTATTGTTGAAGTCAGTTCTCTTGCCCATCAGGTAAGAGGTAACTCCACCTGATCCCAGCTATTGTCTCTTCTCTTTATTTTCTAAATCCTCTAGACATTTTCTCCCAGGGACCACCAAGAGACCACCGAGTCCTACAGTACAATGCATAAGACAGCACCCAAAACAAAGAATCACCCGGCCCAAATGTCATTAGTGCCAAGCCTGAGAAACCCTGTATGTAATCTTTAGCAGAAGTGGAGATGGAGCCTTCAGAAGTTCAACCTAAGGCATCAGAGATGGCTGGGGCTGACCCACACAGCTCCAGAGTGCTAGGAGACACACGAAAGCAGCACCTGATGCTCCCCAAGGAAGTACTTTTCTTTTTCTTCCATGGCTGCCCCAAACACCCTGCAGCCAACTGGGTTATATCGGATGCCCCGCAGCCACTCCAGAGACATTTGCCTTGGCTGCAGCAAGCTTTGCTCACAGACTTACCCCAGATCAACGTGCCCTACAGCCTCCCTGCATAATTCTACCCTGCAGCCTCTGTGGATGACTCTGCCCCTTTGAAGCCCCCCTTAATCAGGTCCTAGAGGGAGCCCTCCCACCCATGACCAAACACAAAGCCTGACACCCTACATGCGCCAGTCGCCTTTTATCCCCTATATAAACAACTTTCCCCTACCCATAAAGGGTCATTCTGTGCAATGTTTTCCCTTATGCTGCAGCATGAGTCCTAATAAAGCCTCTTTTCAATGACATATTTTTGCTTATTCACGCTGTCTACTTCAAGTACAGCATACTGAGCTAGTACACTAAGGGCTGGTAACACCAAAGTTGCTGGCACTGAAAGTGGCCAAGGCTGGCAATGCTGAAGGCAGCCAGCAAATGACGAAGAGCCATGGAGAACTGCCCAGAGCTGCCATCTCCAATGGCTAGAAGAATTCTCAAAGCCTGTAAGTGGCTCTTGCTTCAAGCAGCAGGAAAGCTCCTAACACTAACAGCCAAGAGCTGCTGGTGTTCAAAGCCCAGAGCTGTTATCACTAAATGAGCTACCCTTTGCCAGTCCATAATTCTTATATGAATTGAGCAAAAGAACCCTCAGCCAGTTTGGTAATATCATGGTGGCCTATATGGGGACCCTCTACTTCTGAGGATCCTGAAGAAGATGGACAATGGTGACAGTTCTCAACAAGAAAAAGCAGCTAAAGAACCAGCCCATGTCTAATTTCCAGCTTAAGTGAGACCAGAGACCCACAGTAGCACATTCTTGTGGCTGTGGAAAGAGAAACTTGGGCAGTCACCACCACCTGGGGACAGCTGACAGGGCACAGAGTCCTAGAAGGTCCTCTTTGTCCACACTCATCCTGACCTCACCAGCTCTCCTGCTGTCTAGGGTTTGGAGACGTGCTCCTCCCAGGCAGTTGGTTACCTCCCTCTCCCTGCTCAGAGAGTGTGTGTGTTGCGGGAGGGGTACTCACAGCACCCATGAGTGCCACCCCGGAGCCCACGTTGATGATTGTGGGGATGATGCTGAACTTCCCTGCCTGGAGGACAGAAAGAAGGTGGGTGAGTGAGGCAGACTAAACAGCCACATCCCCAGAGACCCTCCCACCTGCCTTCCCCCCTTGCCTTGCCTTAGAAAGGGAAGGCCACCCACACACCTTGCCATTAACTATCACATGGATGCGGATCCCATAGGCTTTCATCAGGTTGCGGAACTCCACCCCAGCGGAGTCTCGGTAGTATCTGGCAAACCTGGGGGAGAAAGGGCCTAAGAGAAGGCACAGCCTGCCTGTGCCTTCCCTCTTCGGCAGCACAGATGTGGCCCTTCTTAGAAGCCCTTGGGGGACTTCTAAGCAGTCCCAGGATCCCGGCTCTCAGCAGCCCTGGGAGAGGGCCATAGACCCTCCCTCTGAGCCAACCATAAAGATGCATCCAAACCCTTTGCCGAGGTCCCAGGCCTTTCCCACTGTGCTGCCAACCTTTGGGGCACCATGGCAAGGACAGGGCAGGAATAGACATCCTCCTCCTAGCCACAGATGTTCGTTACGCCATCCTCGCCACTGTGCTGGGTCCTCTCCACGCCTCAGCTGTCCCTCCCGCACCTCCTGCTCTGACACCCACCCTAAGCCAGGGGTGTCACAGTGCTGGTTCCCAGAGAAGGATACCAAACATGGTCAGGGCCACAAAGTGGCACAAGGCAGCAATTACCTGAAGTTGTACCCAGAGGAAACAGATTTTCCATGTTTATTGTCCAAACGGTTGAAGTAATAGCGCGGGTGGCACTCAGAAGCAGCTTTGTCCAGGTCGCAGTTCCATTCGATATGAACTCCTATCACACCTCCCTTGACACAAGAGACAAGGATCAGTGCCCAGAGCTATCTGGAGACAGGCGGAGGCCAGCCCTTCACCAGAACTGAAGGCAGAGGAAGGGCTCAGGCCCTGGAGGCCAAGAAAATGTCCTCACCCATCCCGTGTCATCTCCCTTCATTCTCCAGGAGAGCAGACAGCTAACTACTTTATAGACAGGCACTGGACAAATGAATCAGGGTGTGTCCGTGGGGCTCCCTCTGACCCCCTTTGAGCTGATGGCTTTGTGAGCTCTTGGAGACCAGGTGGCTTTGCAGGGCCACCCCTACCCTACAGTCTCATCACTGAAGAGCCCAGGTCCCAGGGGAGGCTCCCTGAGCACACACCACTCACCTCTGAGGCAATGTCCTGGAAGTTGCTCCCTGCCCACTGGACCACGGACCCCAGCCGGAAGATGGGGCAGTAGTGATTGTTGGGGCCAAAGCGACAGGATTTCAGAAAATCTTTGTTCTTTGCTTCTAGTACATTGGCCCTGGGTAGAAGCCGTGAATGAAGACGGGTCAGTGGGCCCCTCGTCCAACCTAACTACCCGCCTCCTCTCACATCCTATTCTCAGCGCAAACCAAGAACTGAGAATGGAGCCCACCCCCATGGCAGGGCCGCTCTGAGGTTTGGCCACATAAACATGCACATGCACCCACACACATCCCCCCGGAAGGCCCAGCCAAGGCCCCACCTCAGGACCCCAATAGCTAAGCTCCACCTACTTGGAAAAATTGAACTTGGGAAAACGAATATAGTTCTTTATGAAAATGGTGAAATCTTCAGCATCCCTCAGGAGTGGCTTCCTGAAAAGTAGTCCAGGACAGCCTGAGCCGGAGGCCTGCCTCGGCCCTCCCAGACCTCCCCCAGGCCCGGGGCAGGGCTGAAGCCTATTCCCTGGTCGCCTGGAGCCTTTGCAAAAGACCGTCCATTTGCTTGCGCTGGCTTGGTCCTCAGACCTTTCTGGAATGTTCTGATATCTCCCTCAGAATGATGCTCCCCTGGGACTGGCACGTGTCCACCCTCAAGCTGGACTCCGACCGGCAACTCCTTAGGGGCCTGAGGCTGCGGCCACTCACTTGGGCCTGGACTGTGTCTCCACTGGGCACCAGGCAAAGATCTCACAGGTGCCTACAGTCGAGTTCCCCGCCAGCAGACAGCGGCCAGTCTTCACTCCTGTAGGGGTGGGACAGGAACAAGGCCAGGAGCCTCCCAGCCCCAGGCCCCCTGCACCCTCCTCCAGCTATGGCCATCTCATCCCAGGCCCTCACCATTTCCAGCTATAACAGGCTCGCCAGCACGGCAGTCATGGTCTTGAGAACACATCCCATCAGGAATGCCTTCACGCTGCCAGGAGAGAAAGGTCCCTGCATGGGAGGCCCCCAACTCAGGGCCACGCCCCACCCAGGGTTAGAAGAGGAGTTCCCCCAGGCCTGGGCCATATACCCTTGGAGAGCCCACTTCTCCCCCATACGATATAGGCACGTGCACCAATGCACGCAGGCTCCAGGGACCCTTGGAACACACAGAAGCCCCTGCTTCAGGAAAAGGGTCGACCCCACCATGGCTGGCAGCTCCCACACCCTCCTCCGCTCCCCATGCCAAATCAAACCTCAGCACAGGTGCTCTGCCGCTGGTTGGCGGTCACGATCAGGTTAGTGATCACAAAGAAGACGTTATCTCCCTGAGGAACCACAGAGGGGTTGAGGAGCCTCCTCCAACCCCCTTGAGGAGCCCCCTTCCCAGGGCTGCCTGGCAAGGGCTGTGGCCTCTGCATGATATTGGGGAAATGGGGCTGCAAAATTGGTAGACTTTGCCTACAAACCCCAAGGGCCCTTGCCTCTTGAAGTCCTATTCTGATCGCACTGGCAAAGTCCAAGCCTAGACGTGGGAAGGGAAGTCAGTAATGGGGCTGCTCGGGCTGTGGCCTGAGACGACTGAACAGACTGGGGAGCCATTCCCAGAGGCAGTGGCACACAAGGGAGGAGTTCTGCACCCCAGGTCATCTGATCATAATGACCTGAAGGTTCACTCAGCCTCACATGGTCTCCATAGACTCAGATAACTGGGAACAGAGTTGGCATGCCAGGCATAGGAAAAGAGGGCAGGGGTTTGGCATGGGAAAAGAGATATGGACAGGGCCTCGATCTATATTCTGGACCAAGGGAGACAGTGGATAGAGGTCCCTGGGCACCCAAACAGCTTCCTGTGGGACCCAACCCAAGCCAGGCCCCACAAGCCTGGGTATGTGGGACAGGCAGGGCTCAGACCTGGGGTGGGATGACGTAGTCTGCGACATCCCAGAGACGCTCCCCGAGCTCCGAGGTGTTGGTGTAGGCCACGCCCTTGACTTTAGTGACAACAGCACTCTGCAGGGAGGTGTCCATATCTTGATAACCCTTCTTTATCACGAACACCCATCTGCAGGAAGGGGTCAGCAGGTGGACATCAGCCACACCGCTGCCCTCAGGGACATTTCCTGGGCCCAGGCCAGGGTGGGAGTTACAGCAACTCCGAGGTAAGGTGGAGCCAGGCTCAGAGCTCCACCTGTCCTACCAGTTCCTGGGCAGGGGTCACAGCCACCACTGCTGCCGGAAACCCAATCCTTCAAGCAGCAGAGGTGGCAAACAACCCCTGAGGCTCTAAAGAGGTAATGCACACTGGTCTCAGAAGCAGGGCTGAAACCAGCTCAGCTGAGCGCTGGCTATGTGACCCCAGGCAAGTTGGCCAACCCAGGGAGCATGGGTTTCCCAATACGCCTGGATAACAGTGCCCCGGGCAGGGGCTATGAGGGTGGTCACACGACAGATGGTGCCTAACCTAAAACCAGTCATGAGGCGGCCTCAGAGCAACCCAAACTGAGGGGCAGTCTGTGAAATAAGAGCACAAAATCCTGCATTCTTTGACCCCAAAACACAAGCAGCAAAGAGAAAATAGGTAAATTAGTGCTTCATCAGAATTAAAAACTTTTGCCCATGAAGAAAGTAAGAAGGCCACCTACAGAATACCTTATCTGAGCCAAGTATGGTGGCACACACCTGTAATCCTAGCACTTGGGAGGCTGAGGCAGGAAGATTGCTGTGAGTGTGAGGCCAGCCTGGGCTACATAGTGAGTTGAAGGCCAGGCTGACCTTCATAGCAAGATCCTGTCTCAAACAAAAACCAAAACACCAGAAAAAAAAAAAAAAAACAACCTTATTTGTTAAGGGTCTAGTATCCAGAATATATAAAGAACTTTTAAAATACAACAATTATTTTTAAGAAGCTAAATAATCCAGTTTTTATTTTTTTGTTTTGTTTTGTTTTGTTTTTTAGTTTTTCTCCGGTACCGGGAACCGAACTCACGACCTTGCACTTGCCAGGCAGGCGCTTTGCCGCTGAGCTAAATCCCCAGCCCCAATCCAGTTTTTAAATTAGTAAAAATCTGGATACAGTGGCACATGCCTATAATCCTTGCTATTCAGGAGGCTCAGGTGGGAGAAGATAGGTTCTAGTCTAATCTGGATGATACAGTAAGATCCTGTCTCAAAAAAAAAAAAAAAAAAGGCAAAGAATTTGATTAGACATTTCTCGAAAAAATTGTCAAGGCAACTCAAAACCATGATAAGAGCCAGACACGGTGGTGCATGCCTATAATCTCAGCATTTAGGAGGCTGAGACAGGAGGATCGCCATGAGTTCAAGGCCAGCTTGGACTACACAGTGAGTTCAAGGCCACCCTGAACTACATCTTAAAAAAAGAAAAAGATAAGATGACATTTCACACTCACTGGAACTACTTTAAGAATATATATATATATATTTTGAGACAGATTCTCACTATTTGGCCTAGGCTGGCTCAAACTTGCAGTGATCCTCCTGTCTCAGCCTCCGAAATGCTGGGATTATAGGCATGCACCACCACACCCAGCTTAAAAATAATATTTTAAGAGAATAAATAGCACAGATTGGTAAGGACATGGAGAAATTAGAATCCTCATACATTGTTAGTAGGCATGTAGAATGGTGCAGCTGCTGTGAAAAATGGCTTGGAAGTTTCTCAAGAGGTTAAAGACAGAGTTTGTAGACAACCAAGCAACTCTACACCCAAGGATATTATGAAGAGAATGGAAAATATGTCCACATAAAAATTTTGTGAGCATATTATTAGCAGCATCATTCAAAATAGCAAGTGGAAATAATCCAAATGTCTATCACCTGGTGAATGGATCCACAAAATGTTGCCTACCCATAAAGTGGGGTATTATTTAGCCATGAAAAGGAATAAAATAAGGACACATGTTACAACATGCATAGGTCTTGAAAACATTATGCTAAGTGAAAGAAATGAGGCCCAAAAAGACCACATACATAGGATTCCATTTATATAAAATGTCCAGGCAAATCCATAGAGACAGGAAGCAGATTTATGGTTGCCAGGAAACGGGGGTGAGGAGATTGGGGACTGATTGGTAATAACTGCAGGTTTCTTTTTGGGGTGATGGGAATGTTCTGGAATTAGGAAGTTGTGATGGTTGTACAATGTTTTGTTTTTTTTTTTCTTTTTGAAACAGGGTCTTGCTATGCAGTTCAGGCTGGCCTTGAGCTCACTTTGTAACCCAGGCTGGTCTCAAACTTGCAAGGATCCTCCTGCCTCAGCCTCCCGAGTGCTGGGATTACAGGCATGCGCCACCACATCCAGCCACAATGTTGTAAATGTACTACAAAGCACTTAATTGTATCATTTTAAATGGTTAAAAGTGTATGTTATATGCTATGTGAATTTTATCTCAATTAAAAAATAGTACAAAAATCTTTTATTCTTCAAAAGACATCAATGTTAACACAAAGAAAGACTTAGGAACCATTCTCATGTAAAGAAGACTAAGAAGACATGAACACTGAATGTAAGGCACGACTTCAGATTTTCTTTTGCCATAAAGGTAATTATTGGAACAGTGTACAAAAGATCTGTAGGTTAGACAATATTGTTTAGGGATAACACCCTGATTTTCATACTTGTACTGGCTAAATAGAATTCCTCCTCTCCTTGTCATGTGGAGCCCTTACCAGAACCGGGCCATGCTGGTACCCCGATCTTAGACTCCCAGCTTGCCGAACTGTGGACAAGTTTCTAATGTCTGTGATCCACTCATACGGCTCGGGAGAAACTGCATAAATATGAACAGGCACATAGAGCAAGGGAGAAGAACCATACAAAGAGCAAGATGTTAACATTTCAGGGTCCCTGGTGGAGGGAAATAATTTTTTGCACTATTCTGTGCTTAAAATTACATCAAAACACAAAAGATATTTTAAAATGAGATAGCACATGTCAACTGTGGGCACAGACGAGCTCAGTGAACACAACTCATTAATGCATTATTGCTGCTGGTGTTAGAGATTGTTGGGGAAACCAGCCGGGCATGGTGGCGCACACCTGTAATCCCAGCACTCGGGAGGCTGAGGCAGTAGAATCATCGCAAGTTCGAGACCAGCCTGAACTGCATAGCGAGACCCTGTCTCAAAAAGACAAAGAAAAAAAACCAAACTTGGGGAAACTGAGGCAGAGTGCGGAGAGGAGGGAAGCCACCTGCCTGAGGTCATGCAGCCAGGGGTGTGGGATATCGATTCTTCCCAGGATGCCAGCGAAGGTTCTGGGTATACCAAGTGCCAGCCAGTATGTGTCCATCTCTTCATCTCTAGGGCAGCACTGAAGTACCCTGAGCCTTAGGCTATCACATTGCCAAGGGACTCTGACAGGACTGTGGCTCCAGGCAAACCAGCCTTTTTAGGGGGGCCATGTTGGGCCTGCCCCAGGCAGAAATCTTAGGGAAATATTCAAGTTGAACCTTCACTAACTCACTCACTTCACCCTCACTCCCTAGTGAAATGATGCCAGACTCCACCTCCAAGGCATCCCCAGACTAGCAGGGAGGAAAAACAAACACCAAGGCAATGCCCCACCTTCACAAACACAAAGTAGCATGTAATTAAATTCCCTGTGGGAATGGCAGGTAAGGAAACAGAGGGAGTTAGTTACTTGGGCACCTAGGTAGGGAGGATGAGTGGGCACTAACAAGTAAAAAGAATAGCGCGCCTGTCTGAGGAACAGCACATACAAAGGCCTCCAAGCGGGAGACATCGGGTGACTTAGGTTCGCAAGTTCGGGAATTCTGAGTGCTGGGTTCTAGCAGAGGGCAGGAGAGGCCAGGGCTTCCTTCCCTACAGGAAAGGGGTGCACCAGCTCCTGCTAGACGGGATGGAGAAGCGGGAAGGGCGCCGCAGCGCTAGGGGGTGAAAGTCTCTGGGCAGGACCCCAGCTGGAGACAGGGGAGGCGGTCACGGGTAGGTGAGCTGACCGGAAGAGAGTTCAGGAAGACTCCAGGCTGATGAGCTGTCACCAGCCCAGAGTAAGACACTGACGCTCAGTGATTATAAATAACCTACCGGATGCCTATGCCAACAGTCAGGCTGGGGCCCAGGGAGGCCTCAGGGGTGACAGCTGCAGCCCAGCCCCTTCATCCTTGCCCCTTCCCACCCCACCCCCATCAAGGGGGCTCCAGTCCCTGGGGAAGGAGCTGCCCACGGACAGCCTCATAAAACTAGGAGTCCAGCAGCCCCTGCCCACGTCTCATCTCCAGAGCCGGCGGGGAAGTAGAGGGGCCCTGGGCCCTGCGTAGCCCCCACGGACCCAAAGAGGGTCCTCTCCTTGGGCGGGGATCTCAGGGAAAGCCAAGAGCAAACTGCGGGACCCCGGAGGAGACCGGCCGCTGGGCCCTCCCCCCGTCCTCCCGCCTGCTGTACCCACTCCTCCCCGCAGCTGAGCCCTCCCCCAGCCTCCCGAAAGTGCCCGGGACTCACACGACCAGGTACAGCAGGATGGTGAGCTGCAGCAGTCTGTAGAGCAGCCCCACCTTTTTGTTCTTGGCGATCACATACTTTTCGGTCTTGTAGTCGAAAGCAGACTGAAAAAACCCCTTGCAGCCCGCCTGCCCCATGCTGCCCGCTCGACCGGGCGTGCCGAGGGCCCCCACGTGTGCCGCGTGGGAACCTCCGCCTCCGGTGCCCGGTGCCCGCCGGGCGCTCTAGGTCGGCGCTGCCGCAGCCCC